TAGGAAAGACTGGTTTTACCATCTCCTCCACCACGGTCCCGAGACTTGGATCACTGATGTATTGAAAGAAATTGCTTCACATTCTGTAGCAGATGACAGCAAAAACATTAAAACAGCGCATTTTATCACTTAATGCATCAGAATATGATTAGGAAAACCCATGTGCCACGTCCATTTAAAAGCCTGTCTTCTTTATCTGGAAAAGGAACGATTTGTAAATATATTTGGTAGAATTTAACACTTTAGGCTGAGGAGGCCAAATAGGTTGAGGACAGTGCACAATCAAAATATAATAGAGATTCACAAGCGATCAGGTAGGATGTGAAGTGAGTCCTGTAAATGGAGAAATGTGAAGAAGGCATTTGAGACGATGGACTGCTGGCTTCATTGTGTTCGACTCTGTCATCGGGGGGCGATCAGGGACACGGGGGTGTAAAATTAGCTCCCCTGACCCCCTGCAGTGCTCACCTTGACAACCCTGTGTATTGAACGACATAAAAGGGATTTGGGATTTGGATGTCACTGCCTTCAGGACTACGCCTGGTAAGATGCCAGTTCTGGTTCTGCGGTAATGGAATCTCTCCAGTGCCAGGGACCTTCATATAACACCCCTCTAGAACAGAAGTGTGCGTACTTTCAGCTTTCAAAGCAGCAGAGATAAACATACTGCTTCAGCTTTGTATAGTATAACTGTGCAAGGTTACTCAAAGTAAATGATCGCATTTGAAATTTGCAGTACTTCTTAAGAGAATAAAAGCTCAGTACGATGACATCCTAGATATTAGAAATTCTATTAATTTATTTTACTATCGAAACAAGGTGCTAACTGCCATGTTCCTGGCTGTTCGCTGGCCTTATATGTTATACCAAGAAAAAAAGAAACCAAAAAGAATTAAGAGTGCCACAGTGGAGCAGTGGGTAGCATTGCTGCTTTGACCTGGGTTCAATTCCCAGGGTGTTACCTGTGTGGAGTTTGTATGTTCTCCCCATTTTTACATAGGTTTTCCTCTGAGTGCTCCAGTTTCCTCCCACAGTCCAAAGACATACAGGTAAGTTAATTGCCTTCTGGAAAAATTGGCTTGGTGTGAGTGTGTGTTTTGCCGTCTGTGTCTGTGTGTTTATCCTGTGATGGACTAGCATCCAATCCAGGGTGTATCCCACCTTGTGCTCGTTGCTTTGCCAGAAACATCTTGGCCAACTATGGCATACTTGTAGCCTTTTTCAAGACTCACCAGTGCAGACCATACAGATCCTGCAATTCCTTCCTGTGTTTGTTAAAAAAGCTTTGCTTCGTATTGGTTCACTCATCATATTACCCACAATTCCTTTTCTTTGGTTCGGACTGTATGTCTGTTTTACAGTTCAGTATGTCTTTAATCGAGACCTGAAAAAAGCATCAGCTAAGTAAATTAACAATAAAGTGTACATTGAGCCACATTTTTTCAGTAATGCAAGTGAGAAGTGACATTATTAAGAAGCACACATTTCATGTGATAGGGTGACCCAGAAGAGGTTACTCTATTGGCAGTGAAACAAATACCTGTACCAGAGGTGGGAACAACAGGAAAGTTTATTTAAAACTGAGAACAGGTGGCACTTCTTTACACAAAAGGTTGTGGGAGGCTGGAACAGGTTACCCCTTTTCACCCCCTGCACGGCAGTATAAAATGCTCGTGCAGTTTGCAGTCCAAGGAGGGGAGAGAACAGTCATGGGAGGTCAGACAGGTCAGACATACAGTTATCTGCTCACAGCTCATTCCCTGAAGGCTGTGCTGGGACTTGTTCTGTGTGATGAGAGGATAAGTAAACAGACACAGCACTGCCTTCAGAGCAGTGTGACTCTTTATGGGGCAGCTGCCTGCAGAGAGATGATTCACTTGGTTACCAAGAGCTTAGATTCCTTACATTTTATGTCTCTGTGTTAAAAACTACAGTGGAGCCTTTTTTCCCCAATGCAGCTATCATCAACTAGTATATAGATTAACAGAATTAAAAGAATGGGGGATTCCAAAGGTACTTTATCGTAAATTGAAAGATCTTAGAACCTCTTCACAGAGTCTGTGCCTGTAAATTTGTTTATAAACAGAGAAACACCTGTCTGAGGTGAAAGGTCTTAGCAATATCTAATACATCTTTTCCTGGATTTTGCTGACTTACCATTATTGACTAAAACGTGCTTTTAAAATATTATTTGTGTCATTATTAGTAGTATTCCCAGAAATGATTAATTCTGATTGTTATTTTGAATTGTTTTTCTCTCTAATGAAATAAGGAAATTGAATGAGCATTTATGAAATAATTCACAGTCTACCCAGTTATCACAAACACAGTGCTGTTTTATTTTATTATTGGAGTGTGACTAAGATGTCAAGGACCAAAGCACTTTAGGAATTTGGGATTTTCCTTTAATCATTGCAGTTGTTCAGTTATAAAAATTGATTTAATTTTGCAAACTGGAGCACTGGATCATTTAGCTCTTAAAATTTCCTTAACGTGCTGGAAAAGGCTGAGTGTCATCGTGGGGGTGTTTGTATTTTGGGGGCAATGCAGCCTGATATTTTATTTTTTCACCCAAGAAAATTAAATAAGAACGACACTAAGAAGATTACAAACATGCTTGGATGGTTTTGAGCTGAATTCTTTTAATATACTATGAGTGATCTTTTAAAACATTTTAAAAGACAAAAGTGCAGAGGTTCAACTTGTTTTTTTAGAAGGAAAATAAGAAAAAGTTAATAGATGGCCAAGTTTAGACATCCAAGCTGCATATTTCAAGGGTAACATAGATAATAGCAGACTAACAACAGTATAATGCTATATATCATGAAGTGTTTGAAGGAATACTTAAATATAATGCTCTGGAATTTTGAATTTATTCACTTTCATTCAGTATTCATTTACTTATAAACCCACTATGCGGAAGTCAAACTGTATTCATGCAGACGTCTGTATTCTAGAGGCATCTGTCACTCTAATGTCACTCATAGCAGTTGATGAAATGACAGCTGTCATCATCCTCATTGAAAGTGACATCATCTTATCTGATGGATCTTTTCCTTTTAGAATATCTATCATATCATCTTTAACAACATGGCTGTCCCATTGCTTGTTTCAGACACCCACAACCCTTTAGGTAAAGAAGTGCATTCTGTTCTCAAGTTTACACGCACTTCCACTAGTTTCCATTTGTGATTTCTGCTCATTCTGAAGACATTCGCTTCAGAATGTGCTCACTGACTGTCAGTGCCTTTGAGGACTTTGAATACTTGAATCAGTAATCTTCTCTCTTCAAGACTAAAAAGGCCCAGTTCCTTCAGCCTGTCAGTGTAGGACAGTGCCTTTAGCACCGAAACTCATCTGGTTGCTCCTCTCTGGATGGTTACCAGAGCAGCAATATATTTTCTACAACATGGTGATCAAAACTGTACATAATATTCTAAATGGGGCTTTATTAGTTCATTGAACATAACGTCCCCTAATTTCAGTTTCAATTCTACACTTTTAACTATACATCTTAACATTTTGTTTGCCTTTTTATTGCTTCCCCATATTGTCTAGGAGATGTAAATACAGTGCATGTGTACCCATAAACAACTAAGTCACTTTCATACAAAGCTCACCATTTCCCATTTTTTATTTATCATTTGTTTTCACTACCTGCGTGTAAATCCCTGCTTGTCCACGTTAAATGTCACCTGCCCAGTCCTGAATTTTGACTGAATATATTTGATTTTCTACTTCTACTGTGCTTCTTAATCCTCCCGTTTTGTTATCATCTGGACACCTGGCTGTTTTATTAAATATAACAGTATGGGTTGTTTTAGGACACCTGCTACTCTTTCTGCAAAGAAGTACCTGTTATTATCAATGCTAATGACACCTCCCCTCAAATTCCAGTTGTGACATGTGATCCTGTCCTGACTTTGATCTATCCTCCTCCTAAACACTCTATCCAATTCAGGGTCGCAGGTTTTCTGGAGCCCATTCTGGCAGGATACACCCTGGGTGGGACACCAGTCCATCACAGGCCACACACAGATACATAAAGCACACACTCACTCAGTCACTCCGGGGCCAATTTTTCCAGAAGCCTATTAACCTACTAGTACGTCTTTGGATTGTGGGAGGAAGTCAAAACACCTGGAGGAAGCCCACATGAACATGGGGTGAATATACTAACTCTGTAGATAGCACCCCAAGAACTGTACCCAGGGAGTGCCTGTGAGGAAGCAACACTAACCACTGCACCAGCTGGTTGTCCTGTGTATTATGTAATAATTGAACAGCATATTGTGTAATAATTGTATGTTGTAAACCACCAATAGCCTTACTGATTGTCATATTGAAAGTAATTTTACCTCTGCTTTAAGGGTAACAACAGAAGCCAAAATACACATACAGTAATGTTGAAGGTAAAGTAGCAGTCTTACTTACGCATCTACTTATATTAACAGGATAGACACCAACAAGCTGGTTAAAGGCAAACACAGCAGAAGGAACGACAGGAAAGTCAGTGAAAATCAGAACTGTTTTTTACTTAGACACAGTGAGGATAATAGCTAGACAGACAGCCTAGGTGCCCTGAAACAGTTACTTCTTTTGTAAATTTAGAAAGTAACCCCTTGTACAAGTAACTTGTAATTGTAAAGAATTATGGTTTTGAAAAGTAATTTTTTCCAACACTGTATTTGACGCGTCTCTATACAATCCCAACAACTGGCACTGTAGATGCTGGCGACCTTGCAAAACAAAAAAATGATAGCATGAGAGAAATGATACACAGTAAGATGATGTAGAATATACACCCGGATTTCTTGCGCAGTAGATTTCACGTATAACCGTAGTTTTTCTATACAGAAACGAAGCCGAACGTCCGTGCCGATTACTATTATAAACCGTGGTAACGAAGTTCAGGAACAGCAGTGCCACAGCTTCCGAGAGTGGTCGTATATTGATTGCTCACCTAGGTGGCACCGCTAAGAGCGGGTCTCTCGACTTACCTTGGAGGTGCCGTCCGAGTTCGCTTCCACCCTCTTGGCGAGCTGCATCATCTGCCACATGTCGCTGACGGGCGTGCTGCCGGGGCCGGAGCGGGTGAGGAGGTCGGCGCCGGTGGGCAGCTGGCTCAGGACGGCCATCTGCCTTTCGATGTCCCGCAGCTTGTCCTCCATGTGATGGTAGGGGCTGGGTTTCTCTCGGACGTGCGGCGGCTGCCGGGACGGTGCCTGGGGCTCCTCGTCTCTCCACTCCGCCGTCACATCCTCAATCTTCAGGTGGCGCAGAATTGCATGCAGGAGGGCGTGCAGGGCGTTGAAATTGACGGCACCAACTTCTGGGCTACCAATGGCCAAGTTGGCCAAGTCAAAAAGACTTACCACCGCAGCCATGACCGGTCTTTCTTCTGTGATTATATATATATTAGTAAAAATGGAAAAAAAAGAGTAGTAGAATTTTAGTAGCTCAGACCCATTCTTTTCAGGTAGTTTTGGCTTTAGTTCTACATGGCTGCAAAAAAATAGCTGCTAAATTACTTGATTAAAAATAAAGGATATTTTCCTTATTTTCTCTGTATTTAATTAAATTAACTATGCCGTATCAAATAATCTTAGTTATTAAAAACGCGCTGCCGATGAAAGAGATTGTATTTATATATTCCAAATAGATTTTTATATAATTTAAATTACAGGTGACATTTGAAAAGCCAATAACTGTAGCTATGCGACCTGTAGAGTTACTAATCACGCCTGTGACGGCTCCAGCTTTGCTTTAATTATGGCCAAGTTTTTTCAACCTACCCAGTCGATGACCACGCCCACGCTTACCGTGGATTGGTCGTAACAATAGATGTAAATTCTTTACATCTATTCTGTTGGATATACAACCTGTCAATCAACTCTAAAGCCCATCCATGATTGTTGAGTCATAGCGTTTGAAGTAACTAAGCAACAGCCGCTGTTACCCCACGTCCATGTGGGTTCGGGGTTAGTTCCCAGAGCACGGGGCAGGAAGAATTCTCTTATTCATAATTCTGCATATAGCACTTTGAATCTCATTATGATATATCTTTGTCGTGATGAACGTTTCAACACTATAGTAAAAAATTAACATAAACTTCTTCATAAGTGAGCGGTTTCCGTATTTATAATTATAGCAAACTCTCAATTGTATTGTACAGAGCACACAGACATCGGGCAGTTCAGTGTATGGAGCCCGGAAGGGGTCATCGGTAGGAGAGAAAAAAGTTATATCGAGGGAACGATTTACGTTTTCTTTAATCCATGCGCACGAAATAACGTTTTCTAACTCTTTCCTTCGCAAGGACAGGTGAGGCATTAGCAGTGAAAGAGAGGTGCAGTCTAAACTAGTAGTTCAAGAGTACAGTAGCTACAATGCCCTAATAACTCATCCCCAAACCAAAATAAAACTTAATCACTTCATCTTTATACTTTCTCCTAATCTACAGCATTGTCAGAGAGTTAGGCTTTATTGTACTAATATAAAGACGCGATAACGTTTTAACTAGCGTTTGATAAAGTTATTGTTAGGAACCGTGGATAATGCTGGCGTTTTAGAAGCTTTCTATGTGCGTGCAACTATCGTGACAAAAAGAAAACGGGGGAGTTAAACAACATTATTTCGTGCGCACGAATGACAGAAAACGAGGGAACGACTTATTTATTTCGAATTGTAAATCGTTTCCTCGATATTACCTTTTTTCCTACTAAGGGCCCCTCCCGGGCTCCGTTACAGAGGCCCTTTTCAGTATCATAAAATAATAAGGGATCTGCTGTTTGCAATTACAGACTTTTTGCAGCCTGTTCCGTTTGATGTTATCTTCACCAAGATTTTTTTAGCACAGGTTCAAGTGAACCCGTGTAACGTTTACCGCTTCAAAATTTTCCAAATAAGCATCGGCACAAAAGACAGATTTTAGCGTCTTTTAAAATGGACCATCTGTATATTTACAGATTTCTTCCTATATAGATTTATTCTGGTAGGGCATTCTTGAGTTGATCCGAATGTGTCCATATACCGAACACTGCAATGCAACTGATTACAGCGGATGCTTAATGCAACTGATTACAGGCAAAAATAAAATACACCTGTCTGGAGGTCTGAGGGGGAAGAGACTGAAATCCCGCGTCGTCGTCTTCAAAATCGCTCCTCTATGACCTCGGGGTGGAGATGAAGGGGCTGGGTGGGCGCAATTCTCTAAACAGCGCTGTTATCAGGGGTAGCAGGTATACAAGAAGGACAGAGGCAGGACTTGAAAATAATACACAAGTTACAAAAGTAGCCAACCTTAGGGAGGAAATGAATTGGTCAAGAATCAGCGACTCTTTCAGATAGAACTAAGGGCGGGATTTATTTGTATTGAAAGTATGAAGCCAAAGAAGGATAAAACAGGTTAAAAACAGAAAGCAGCAAAACCGAGATAATTCTCATATACTTTACATTCAAGTATCATATTAGACACGTTTAAATAATGATATACTGTAAAACAATAGGAGCCGCTCTCAATATCCCACAAGCACTTAAATGCCAGTGTAAATACCTAGTTCGAGCGGCACCTGCGGGGAAACTGTTGAAGTAACATCAGAGCTCAATGGTCTTTCCTGAACTAGCCGTGCATTCCACATGCCAAGGAAATGGTCACTAGGTGAAATGGACATTCAGCGATTCATGATCAACATCGCTTTAATGTATTAAAGTGCGCTTGAACATTAAATGTCACCTTGTATCCGCAGAACATGACGGTCTGGAGAAATGGATTTTCATACCCATTGATTATTCAGAAACCAAAGGTTATAAAGAACTGTGCTGTCTTTACCTTGTGTCAAGTAGGGATGTTAATAAGTAGTGTGATGGTGTTCCTATAATACATACGTCTGCTGTGCTGTTACCAGGGTGCTCTTTGAGGCTTTGCTACAAACGTTCTTGCTTTCTAATTTGCCCCTCATCACAATGGACATCCTAATTAATCGGGAGGAGAGAATCCTTCTATGACTGTCTTAATTTCATCGTTCTCAAAGTTTTTGCAGCAATAGTTCCATTTTTACCCCTCATTAAACTTGATCAAAGTAATCATATTCAGAAAAGACCTGCTTGCCATGAAAACCCCGACAATTACCACTTCTGAGCTCTGTGATCCCGGGTTCGACTTGAGTCTTTATCTCTAGCTGAGCAATACCGAAGGTAGGATGTGATTAGTCCACCAGGGCTCTCTCCAATTCTCGGCGACACAGCGCCCCTTGTGGTCTACTAGGTTATTGCAGGCATATGCCACTGCTGGTCCTGGTTCACATCGTGAAGACCTGAAGACTTCAAAACGCGCGATTCCAAATCTGGTAGGTATAACAAAAATACCGAGCGATTCAACATAAAAACTATACCCACGATTTCTGTTTCTCAAGCTTCCTGTTGCAAAGCTTTATTCTTCATCGAATGCATTTATCTTACAAACACTGTAGTGAATACAGTACCGTATTTATCTTAAAGGAATCCTGGAAGAAAGTTATGTGATCAAAGGATTTGTGAAATAGAAAATAGCACAAGGGCACTATAGACTCCATTTTGAAACACTAATGCGATTAAATTCCCATTCCCATTAAATCCTATAGTGATTGAAGCACCTCAGTGTTTTGAATACAGGGACCTATATTTCCCTGTTTACCACTATTTCCATTTAACTGGCACAGTTGCTGTCTGGACCAAGCTTTCATAGCTGTGTTTAGAAACGTAGACACTCTGCACCTTTAAACATAAAAACGAGAAAAATATCTGAACCCATTGCAAGAGGAACTGCAGCTCCAAACATCAGCATGTCACAGCTGGGAAGGCAGTGTTAAAGAAGCATGGGGGAGATCAAAAAGGATTTTCTCTTGCAAATGGAGAACATGGGGGACAGTGTTTGGAGAATGAACCCCAGGGGTGGAGCACACCTCAGTGTTCGTGGAGTCCTGTCATGGAGTCCATTGTAAGTATCCCTTTCACAATGTACATCTCTGGCGGATACTGCTTCTGTGTGCATTTTTTCCCTGCTCTGAAAGGAAGTGGTCCTGCCCCTATTCCATGCGTGTAGGATGACGGAGTTTGCTCCTGTGCACTTATGCACCACCATGCACTGCATTCACAATTATCAACAGGAGAACACGACCTACAGGGCAGGAGTAAGCACTGATATTTAGGTTAAATCAGATGCATTCTTGTTCAATTAATTAGGACCAGCTTTTCATATATGACAACCTCGACAGTGGTAATTAAATAAGATTTCCTTTTTTAGTACAGTACAGGCCTAGACTGAAGTTTATTTCAGTCTAGGGGTGTCCAGTCCTGGTCCTGGAGGGCCGGTGTGTCTGTAGTTTTTCCAGGTCTCTTTAAAGCAGCAGAACCTACAGCACTGGAAGAGGGTATTAAACTGGTCAATTAAGTCAATAATAAGGTGATTCAGGTCACTGAGAGTCCATCTGGAGAGACACTGACTTCCAGGACCAGGAATGGGGTTCCCTGATCTCTGGGGAAAATGTGTCATATGTTCTTGCTGCTATTTGTCCATCTACCTCAAAAACAAAAACATTTTTTACCCTGAGAAAAAAATCCCAAAAGTCAAAACTGAGTTGGAAAATATGTCCAGGATACAAAGTGATATGAAAACCTAGGAGGACTGATACTTAAGTAATGGCACTTTTATGTCAGGCAGCCATAAAATTTTTAACTCCAAACAGAGAAGTCCAGCATCACGTTTTGAAACCGAAGCCTCTGGCAAGGATGCTGGTAGGACAACACCAACCTTCCTCCTAATCAATAAATCAACAACATGCATGCATCTGCGTTTTTTTTAAACAAAGGGGTAACAACATAGAAGGGCAACAGCAAAGACTCCCCAAAGTGCAACACTTCAGTCCATTATAGGCAATATGAGCAAACAGACTCTTGGTCAAACTAATGACAGAGCAGCAGAGCAGTATATTTGACAATCAGCAGAACTTAATAAAGGTTACAAATGAGAGGGCACCACTCTGCCCATTTAGCTCATTTGGGTACCAGCGGTTGAGTGATCCGGTCATGTCTTGTAAGACGCTAAGGTATAATCTTCAAAAACATGGCTTTCAGGGTGGCACATTACTTTAAACCTGGGATAATATCTGATCACATCTGTCATTGCAAATTTTCTATAGGGTAGAAGTTTGACATGAGTTGATGTATTTAAGAGCTGCATAAAACCTACAATGGAGAACCTACTATGCATTGGGAGAATGTCAGAATCCTGGCTTCTCTGTCAGGAGCTTCCACATCATTTAGAGGCTGCCAAGATTTCTAGGTTGTAAGCCATCACTAAAACATGTCCACGATAGCTATGAACAGTGCAACTCCAAATGATTGTTGTTTTTTGTTTTTTACAGTGAAATGCTTTCACTACCTGCAACAATCAAAGTCCATTTCTCTTCTTGCTTTTACAGTTCTTCACCCACAGCTGCATTTCAGACAGTTAAAATCCTTATTACGTGTACATCGTGTGTTTTGCAACATGGCTCAGATAACTGGTGGAAGTTTAAAAAAAAAGGAACATCCAAACCGATGAATAAAAATGAATAAAAAAATATCTGTGTAAATATTTAAAATTTGAAGTACATTGAATCACCAAAATGGATGAATATTCAGTATTTTATGTGCAATTTCCCAATTTTCCACTTGTGATGGCTGTTTTTCATTTCTTTGTATATAGCATATATGGTAGAGAGAGAGAACGATTCTATCATTTCCCCCTTTGAATAAAACTGCTAATATTTGCTTCACTGCTGTTGCTGTCCTTTTTTTCTCAAGCCAGACTGATCTGTGGTAAAAAGAAGTTTTCTTTAAACTTTACACAGACTTATTCCTAACATAGCGCCTGAGCTCATTTCACATATTTAGCAGAACTGAAGCCAGACTGTCACTGCTGTCCCATGCAAGTCGATTAAACCAGCTGGGAAAATTCCACTCTTCAGTGCAGAAGAAACATCCTCTTTCAGATCAGGAAAGAAGGTGAAGGACTTGCGAGGACCCTTGGGTTCCAGTGTGAAGCCTCCTCTGGCAGCAGCACTGAAGAACGGGGAGCTCCAGGGGGCAGGAGGCCAGGCGGGGTGGGAGTAGTGGGCAGAAGATATCTGTTGATGGATGGCCCCCCAGGACTGATCAGGACCGGTCTGCCACCCCACTTACCAGTACGCCCCGCTCCGCCCCTCCCCCCTCCGGTCAGATACTGTCATAGTCAGAGTCACGCCGCTTGGACACGGACACCCACTCCGCCATGAAGAAGGTCAGGGTCCCGAAGAAGCCGGCCAGCACCATGATGAGCAGCTGCCACTGCAGGAGGAGGTAGTTGCTGTAGAAGAAGGCCACCGCCGCGCTGATGGACTGCAACACAGGCGGGAGAGTCTGGAGTCACGGCACAGTTACAGCAGACGGGCCGCGCACAGCTCCCTCCCCCAGCCGAGATCCGGCCTCCTCCCGGCCCCCAGACCGCCCAGCCCCCTCCGACATGAACAAAATCCCCTCCGCCAAACAGGTCAGATGCCTATCAGGGGAGGATACGGGACGCAGGCGAACAACACCGGTCCCAGCAGATCGCTCCAAACTCAATTACCCAACACTTTCGTCTCAACCACTTGAGCTAGTAATCTGTCCAATTAAATCGTTTAGAGATTATTTTGGAATGAGAAACCTCCAGCTCTCAAGGACCACAGCTGACTAAGCCAACTCATCAAAACACACATTTTGCAAACTGATAATTGAGAGGTGACCTACAGTATAAGATGTGCTGGAATAAATCTCAAGGACCATGACTGGCCACGCCTGCTATAGACACGCATGTTCCCTGTGATACGCTCTTGTTAATACGAGAACACAACGGACCTTATATAGACCTTACATTTTCACAAAACCTGTGACGTAGGCAGATACTTTACTATTCTTTTGATCCACATGCCAAAGAGTCCAAATAATCCAATTACAATAAAAACAGTGCAATCAAACTTTAAATCAAACTTCTGGGCTATTGTCTCCAAAGGGGCTTTGTCGTTTTCTGAAATCTGAATATCATTTAAAGGAAACGCATCAAAATTCAGATCCAAACGCACATTGGAAATGCAGACATTGTAAATGTCCTTCAGCCTCGAGACCTTGTTGATAACACAATTCATAAAAACAGGGCTATAGTAGCACAGATGTTTCAGTGCAATAAACAGGGATTACAAATAACTGCAATGGTCCCTGCAATCTCCTGCTATGCATGGCTTCTTTCTATGCTTTGGGATTGACTATCAGACATAAAGGATGTGACAAATACTCCGGCATGGAGACATGTCTGATGAGAGAGGATCACCTGTACAAATTTGAAGACGGCAAAGGCTGGGGCGCTGTCCTCAGGGAACGTGAATCCCACGATGCTCAGCAGCTGGGTGTTGAAGCAGCTGTCCCCCAAACCCAGCAGAAAACTGCACAGCAATGCCACTTCCTTACTGAAATCACAGCACAGCACAGTCAGGGACAACCCTGGGATTCATCTCAGGATATGTTGCGGTATCCCAGGGATCTGGGCGCTTGAGATCTCAGGATAAGTGCATTGAAATATTGCCACATTTATTGTTTGAGAATTGTTCTACAATTACCTCGGGGTTAAGAAGGCCTGCAGATTTGTTCCCTCCTCGGGGGCAATGGGCGCATCGCTGGCGATGTTCAAGAAGATCAGGTAGAAAGCCAGGTAGTGGGTGAACAAGCCCAGCAGGACCACTGGATTCCTCCCAAATCGGTTGCTCTTGTTCAGCATCCCAAAGACACTACCTCCTAATCAGATGCCGCAAAAGGACAGTGAGGTAGGAGGAAATGGACCAAGAAGCTCTTTTTCACTGTCATTAAAATGCACACTCATTCCAGACGATGGTATGAGTGAGGGCGGGACAGAAGATTTGGATTTGCTATGCTGTGCTTCTACTCCAGTAAAGACAGAGTGAGAATAATTTCCTCTTAAATAAACAGTGGCACAGGTCTTTTATCTGCTAGACACAATGAGCCATCATAAATCCGTCCATCCATTTTCTTGTCAATTCAAGGCCGTGGGGGAGCTGAAGCCTACCCCAGTAAGCAACGGGTACATGTTGGATGCAATGCCAATTTATCACAGGGCACACACAGATGCAAACAAGCACACACTCACACCAGGGCCAGTTTTCCCAGAAGCCAATTCATTTACCAGTATGGCTACGAACTGCGGGAGGAAACCGGACCACCCACAGGAAGCCCACGCAGACACGGGGAAACCATACAAAGTTTATGCAGAGAGCGCCCAGGAATTGAACCACAGGGCCCCAGCACTGCGAGGCAGCAATGCTAACCACTGTCACAAATGCTATCATACATCCAACATTTAACATTTTTTATCCCACGAAGTGCTTGAGAGGTGCTCAAACACTTCCTTCGTGTTTCTCTGGTGGCCTCTGCAGACTCACCCAGTATCTCCCCCACGCCGATGAAAATGCCAGAGAGGCCGATGAGACCCTTGGCGTCCTCCCCAAAGCGAGTCATGGCGCCGATGCAGGTCCCATAGACACCGCTGTAGAACGTCAGCTCCAGGCCTGCAGGGGTACAGGGGTGGGGTGCAGCTGAGGTTACAGACTAGTGGAACAAGATGTGTGCTGTATGTCCCCACGAATGACCAGGAGGTAAGGAAAAGTGGCATAGGCACAGATAACCAGACAAAAGAGTGATGGACCGAAGTATCAAAGAAAGCCTAAAGCTCTGCAAAACTTGTCTTTTTGTTAGGAAATTCTTACATCTACAAATGTACGACATCCAAGATCAAAATTACTTTAATTGTTTCCATTCATCACCTTATGCTAATCACTGTGCCACTATGTTAAGATACAGAAAATGTTGAAATGTATGGGCTTACAAACTATATACTACTTTGCAAAAGAAGCAATCAGGTGTTTTCTTTTTGTACAGTGAAAAACGTCATTTACAAATTCTTCACATTTGACTAAGCAGTCAATCTGAACTGTAGAAAAAGCCAGTCCATCAAATTGATCAAATATAATTAACTCAGTCAGCTACTCCTTATCATTTAAATGATTTGTTCCTCTCCACATATGCATAAAGCTAAAAAGCCTATTGTACTTTCTGTACCTCAAATTATAGATTAAGAATACCAGATTAAGAATAAACAAAATGGGTAAAATTTCAGATGAACACAACAGAATTGTGTCTTTGAGCAAAGGAGGAAAAAGCAGGTGGAAAGAACAAAACAATGCAGATTATTTAAGAGGTTTGGACAGCATTATAAATATGTTCCCTAGCAATTATATGTTTTTTTTTCTTTTTTACCACATGGCACAAGATAAATGAATGGACAAAGGTATGCTGCATTTAAAAGCTGACAGCACTTAAAATGACCAGCTGGGCAAAGCTTGTGCTTGTGTTTCAGATGCAAAATGCCCTTTCCAAATCTTTGATCTTGTTCTTGGAGAAAATTGTTTAACCGTGTACTCAAGCCGAAATGTAAACTGGAAGGCATGGAGGCCTTGAGGATCTAGAGCTTGACCAAGCCCTGGTTTAATGTGAAAAATAGGTCTTTCACACAGACTAGTCTCCTGAGCTCTTAATGGAAGGCAGTGAGTTGTGAAGCCCTGCTCATACCTGTGTATGCGATGGAGGCACTTAGCAACAGCATCTCCTTGGTACAAAACAGCTTCATAGCTTTCTCTGCAGAAGGAGCAAAAGATACCTGTTAGTGGGCTTTGAGGTTCAACCACAAAGTCTTCCCCTGGTACCCCACCTCCAGAAACTGGCACAAGTCACCACGTGTTCGACCGATCCCACCCTTCCTCCCCACTAAAAGAAGTAAAAGAAGAGTGAAAGAAGTTCCATCTGCTCATGCAAATCCAAACAGGCTAAAACACCTCCCCTTCATGAGTCCCATTCAGACTGAAACCTCAGTACTGTGTAATGGAGCTGCAGTTACTGATCACTTACTGAAAGCTTCCAGAGCCTGAGAGCATAGCCCTTGAGGTGACCTACAAAAAGAAAATGCAATGTTATTTTACAAATATTAACTCCGTCCGACAGTTCTGAAGCCCTTATTTCATGATCCAACTTAGATCCATCCATCCATCCCTTTTCTATCCACCTTCCAATTCAGGGCCGTGGGGGAGCCGGAGCCTATCCCAGCAAGCAACGGCACAAGGCGGGATACACCCTGGACTGGCATTTCACCATCGCAGTACAGACAGACACAAACACACTCACACCAGGACCCATTTTCCCAGAAGCCAATCAACCTACAATTATGTCTTTGGGCTGCAGAAGGAAAATGAAGCACCTGGAGGAAATCTACACAAACACGGATAGTAGACAAACTCCATACAGACTAGAATCACAGGTCTGGAATTTAATTCCCAGCACTGCTAACTGTGCCAATTTATAATGTATTGTACACTATTAATGTTGCCCACAAAGGGTCTGTGTACACCAAGCACCAACACCAAGTTCTGCTCCTCCTGAAGTGGACCCACGTAAGGCTCAAGTCCCGGCCAGCTTCTCTGAAGGCTGAGACGTGTGGTTTTGAATGCGCAGAAGATGGTCCATTAGTTTGAAATGTCAAGAGATGTTCTTGACAGGGGCAGCATTCAACTCACGGCTCAGAGCTCTTGTCAGAGACCCCGTCGGGTGGCAGGAGCGATTCGGACGCCTCGGAGACGCCCGCGTTGGGGTCGGGCTTTCTGATGAGAAAGAACAGGAAGCTGCCCACTAGGCTGATGACAGTCAGGGAGATGAAGACCGTCCGGCGATCCTTGTCTGAGGGAGCAGAAGAAAGAAATGTAAATAGTGAGGCTGCACTACCTACAGGGACTGCTTAAAAATTTCATTTATATAGTACAAACCACACCCCTTTTGTAACATCATCATCACTTTCAATAACCACTTATTCAATTTAATGTCATGGTGGCCTGGAGCTTATCCCCGAAAAGCTTTGGGTGCAAGGTGGGATACACCCTGGACAGGACGCCAGTCCACCACGGGAAACACAGAGACACACACACACACTCACACCTGGGCCGATTATTTTACAGAAGCCATATATTCTAAAAATCGATCACTAGAGCTGAACTGATCACTTCTTCATCCTTGACTTCTCACTGTCTAATTTATAGTGCATCTGAGGGCCACATGTGTCAGAACAACCTGTCTCCACAAAAGAGTTTAACACTTCCTTGTTAAATCTCTGGGACTTTCAGTCCCCTCCTGGAAATGTTAAACCAACATTATTTTTTAGGAGCTCTTACAACTGCCAATGCACTGTTTTCTTCTGGTGTGAGAGGCAGGTGTAAATGTATTAAGGTGATAAATATTTTATGACTGTGCCTCTTTTGAAGTCTTCTTAATTCACTCAAGATTCAGCAGTCTCTGAGGACAGGGGAGAAGGCAAAAAATCTAGGGCCTTCAGGCGGAATTTTGAAATCCAGCACAGCCCTACTGCAGTAGCACAGTATCTTCTGAGGCTTTATCGTTAGCTTTATTTTGGGAATACAGTAATGATTTTTCTTCCCTTAATTCAGTGCTAAAGAATTTGTTTCTTTATTTGTTGAAACAAAAATGCAAGCAACATCATTTACAATTCCTTTTTTACAACCTGTATTCAATCCTCATTGATTCCTGGGTGTGAAAGTCAGTGTAATTTTGTTTTACATGGGGGGGGTAAATCTAAAGAATACTAATAATAATAATCAATAAAAAAGAGTGGCTTGTGTTCTGCCTACATACCTGATATGTGGACTTTGCCATGCCAAGCAAAATATATATACAGGTTCCCAAAGAACAAGCTGAAAGAGAAGAGTTTGTATTGTTCACCTTAAAATAAAGCTGAGCACCTAAATAAAAGGCATACATTTATTCATCGGCCCTTCAGGCTTAGTCAAATATATTGAGAAAGCAATCTTGCTTAATGATGAAGATGCCAGTAAACAACCCCCATATATAAAAGAGGCCCTAGAAAACATATGGAAATTGTTAATAAAACAATGGTATAAACACATTGAGAAGAGACAGTATGGAATATTAATTTACTGATATTCTTTGAAACAGAGTTACAAACAAACAAAATGTGTCTGTGAAGATGTGGATTTCTCCTGTTATTCATACAGTACATTCATCCTGTCATTCACACATGATGGAGAAAGATAGCATTTTCATCATGTGTAGTCATGTTCATACAACCTTATGATCAACTGATTGAATTGATTGAATCTTATGATCAAATGAACTGCCAAAAAACACCGAGGTCACCTGCACTGCAGCAAAGCCCAGAAGATTCCACTGTTTCTCCCAATGGTGTGCTCTGTGGAGTTGATTGTCAGGAGGTTACCCTGGGCAGTCCATAACACTGATGGGGGAGAGAATGCAAGATCAGGGAGACCAAACCAGTATCATATATATACAGAAGCCTGTCTACCCACAATACTTCATCAAAAAAAGCTGTCTGCATACCACTCCAGTAAATTAAGTATTCATTCATTCTTTTGCCCATACATTCAGGGCGATATTCAAAACCTTTTCTTTGCTCCTCAGCTAGATTTACTCCCCTTTCACTGAGAGTGACTACAAATGTTGTTTACAGGTAGTTATACAATATCACTTAAGAGCTTTCTAGCAAACAGAATTGGTGAAGCAATGTTTGTGCTGTAGGAAATGGATTTTAAAACTCCCCATTACTGCAGTATTTCATGAGATAGCATTTTGAGATTGAAAAGGCCCCATTAAAAGCTTGCAGAAACTCTTGAAGGTTACAATAACACAAAAGGGTATGAACAGATGCCTGTATAGGTTTCTAAGCAACACTTCAACTGCAGCAGGGGGGCTTCAGACAACACTGTGATAGAACCATGAGGTGATACGGAAGTGGAATGTTTTCCTCTCTCCTCGGGAAACCACATTATCCTCCTCTGTGAGCTCAAGAACCAAGGTCAGACTAGAACCCCAGTCCCTGGAGCGCCTGGGCTCCACCGCTGTGCTTAGTGTGGCAGGCTAAATTCAACTGGGAACAATGCATACGTGCATTTAAATCCGAGAACACCAGGCGGGTAGTACTTTACGCACAGAGTTGGGGAAGTATAGAGCAAGCCCTCAGGCAAGAGATACAAGAGCATACGAACACTTACCACTAGATTATTCAATAGCTCCTACCCACAAGCAGTGCGATTGGAGAACACATTTAGCCATGTCCCTCGGACCACACCTACACCATCTAACTCATTAGAATTTCTTATTTATTGCACATCTGCAGCCATTGTTTACATGTCTGCATTGTTTACATTCAAACTGTTTATTTCTTTACTTGTACATTGTCTACTGTTTGTTTGTATAATGTCTTGATGCACAGTCTGCACCTTGTGTTTTTACACTTTTTTAACAAACCGAGAGACTTTCTGTAAGTAAGAATTCCATTGTACCAGTACATGTACCAGTTACATATGGCAACCAAGTTCAAGTTCAAGCTAACCAGCCATGTTGTTAAAGTTGAAACCCTAACTTCTTTTCTACCAACTACCAAAAGTGCCAGATGGGCCAAAGAGCCTCATCTTATTTGTAACATCTGGGTTCTGAAGCTTGTTCAGCATCTCCAGTATGCCACTGCTTTACTACCCACAGGCATTTCATGACATGAGCTCGAACCCAAGATGTACACTTAGACTGTGGAGCCTGAACTGCATGCCAAACAAGCGCTTTTAAATGGTTGAGCCACTCTGGGTTGCCCTGCGTGCCTTTCCAGGCATGAAGTCAAACCTTGGACATCAAACTTCCCCACTGGCTGCTGCACGAGGAGAGGATTACTGGAAAAGGCACAGACACACCCCCTTACCTGCGGCCGCTATTCCGACAAGCACAGAGGCCATGTAAAAAGACCAGGTCAGGGGATAGATGAACACTGCAATATAACCACTGAGGGCAGGGGAAGAAAGCACATAAGGTTAGAAGAAATAGCACAACAGGGCTATATATCATACTGTCAAGGGGTGGCACCTTATCAATAAACCAAGGAAGTCCTGGCTAACATTTCAATAAAAATAACAATACATTGAAGTCTGGTTTCTGGTTAGCTTGTTTTCAAAGAGCCATAAATCATTGGGATTTACAACAGTTCAGTTAGTCATCTACAATGGTCTATTTAGAAATGAAATAGCATGGTTATGTACAGGATAGTAGTAATAAGTATTATTATAGTACTAGTACAAGTAAAGTATTAATAAGAACCAATAGTATTACATCTTTAAACATTTATACAAGGCGAGAAACACGATGAAACACAGGTCTCTCTCCCCCTTGCAAAATTATTTTAACTTTGATTCAAAAGCTGCCTGCAGAAAGAAATTTAGAAGCCCATTCCCTGTATCTGATGAATACAAACATATTCTCTGAAAAATTTAGTGAAACACATATTGCTCATTAAAATAAACTTGTCAATGATGCCTTCTAATTGTACCGATCTTTGCTACATCGCAAATTATTATATTTTCCAGGAAGGAAATAAAATGTCTACAGTAGGCTGTGGTACAAGTAGTACTGATGAAGCAGGAAAGCAAACATATACTTAAATTTTCTCTCTGTATGTCTGTCTATGCAACAATGCTCAAAGTTAAGAAGCACACGGCGTGAGCTGGCAAACAGTATCTGCTGCTTACAGAACCTTGTGTACAAGAGCAAGCTCTCGTGTCCTTTCATTAACTAAGTGGAATACATGGGCTGAATGAGCTCTTCTCATTTGCAAACTTTCATATTTCCATCTCAGCTTCAAACTTAACTGACCAACTACTGTTTCAACTTTGGTTTCGGGAAAACTCCCCCCACCAGATTTCTTTCACATACAGAAGACATATTATCTCACTTCAGGGAAAAAGAAATCCTGCAGTCAAAGCCAATAGAGGAGCTAAATGAAAGCTCGGGCTGGAGCTATTCCACAACTAAACCATATGGCCGTACAGCACATACAACAACGAAGAGCCCTGAGCTCTCCGCAATGTGGCAACATCCCACGACCCCTCACTCTCTGGTGGTACAGCATACACACACAATCATTTTAAGGAACATGTGCCAAACACAGTGTCATCAACGTAAATAGTAACGCAAATATGGTTAGGTATATTATAACTAATAAGTACTAAAAATTGTTAAGAATAATCAAGTTCTAAAGCTGACAGGGTTCGTTACTGCATATTAATCAACAATGCAAATGTGAAATCAGTCTGGTCAGGAGGCAGAAAAATTACGTCTTTTAGCATTTACTCTGAACTTTGGTTTCACACCTTCAGGGAAAACTACCAAAGTGGGGATGTGTTTCAATGTGCCAGGGTACGAGATTGGACACCAATCAAGGCCTGTTGACCTAGGTAGAAGGACTATTCTTGTCATAAGAAAAAGTCACCTTATCCAATTAAAGCTCAACCCCCCCAATAATCTTTGAGACAAAGCCCAGCTTACCTGTACACCAGGCCGCTGACGAACATAGACAGCTGAGGCCCCACCACAGCCACCACGGAGGGAGCGATCAAGTTGGATGCAGAGAAAACGCCATAGATGATGGCCATGCTGTGAGGAAGCAGAGACAGTGAAGTGTACATATTGTAGAGTGCAGTGGGCCTGCCTGATAAGTGGTTTCCCTGCACTTTTTAACACTGAAAGCAGATCTGCAAGAGATTTTAATGAAAAGGCATATGCTACAATTCCGACACCCAAGAAAATAATTCCTTAAACAAATACTTCATGAGAAGACCATATGATGCTAATAAACAGTGGAGAGCTGACCAGTACTATGGACTCCAGCCCACGGGGTTGTGGGTTCAAATGTGTGGGTGGTGTAATTCACTCACATTGCTCCAGGACAGCTATGGGTCTCCATGTATGAGAATGTATTCCCAAGAGGAATTAATAAGGAATTAATTAATATTGTATATCTGACAATTACAGTGAACTGTTAAATTTATTCTGAGAGAGCATCCTAGAAGATGGCTGTTAAGGCCAGAATGGACAATGAGGTCACATTTCTATTCTTTGCAGGCAGGGATACGCAACAAGTCATAGGGAATTTGAAACTACAGCAGTCAATTACTAGACCGATACAGTCACTGACTTATCACATGTGCGGTTCAGGGACAAAGCCAGGGCTGGGGGCATTCCACCCAGCCAACAGGGGTAGTTAGCATAACTTTGTGGGAACCCACTATTATTTCCACTCATCCATCTATCTTCTCACCACCAATAAAAGGTTGTGATGGAGCTGGAGCCTATCCCAGCAAGCAAAGGGAAGCTAGTCGGTCGCAGGGCACACACAGACACAGAGACACCCACACTCACAAGTCAATTAACCTGCCAGTATGTCTCTGAACTGTGGGAGGAAAGCGGAGCAGCCAGTGGACACCCACGTGAACCCAGGGAGAACACAGAAACGCCACAGATCGCACCCCAAGCATTGAACCCAAGGCCTCAGCATATAACACATTAATTAACTACCCGTTGCAAAAAAGCTAGTATTTCTTAATGTCTGCCCAATGTGGATTTTTAAAGTATCTTTCATTTTTCGGGGTGGGGTGGGGACTAAAATGTTGACATATTTTGCTTTCTGAATTATCCAAAAATGGCAACCCACTGGAATTGTCTCTTGTATTACCTAAGTGCATTTCAACAGGTGACAAAAACATGTGAACTAAAATATTTCGAAATGGACTGTTTTTGTCTTCTACTCTTGTGTTAAAAACAAGGTCACAGTTTGAAACGCGGATTTCACATTTTGCTTGGATCACAGTATTTCAGTAGGGCTCCTACATTTCTGCTGAAAGCAACAGTGTATTTTCATCACATGGCGGTCATGAGACACACAGGAAGTGTAATGTGTCCCCTGCGAAAACAGGTTCAGCCTGCTTGAGAGCAATTGGCAGCCTTTAATGGAAGACTGACATAAATGAAACACACCCTTTGAGGAAGCTCACCTGACCTGTGAGCTCTGTTCAAAGGTTGAGACCCACAAACTCTGGCTAGGGGATTTAATAAGTCAGTCAAGCTTTAAAAAATTTGTTTCATCCATCCATCCATTTTCTTACTGCTTTATCCAATACCGGATCGCAGGGGAGCTGGAGTCTATCCCAGCAAGAAATGAGAGCAAGGTGGGACTGAGACCCTGGCAGGACTGTCCAGAAGCCAATTAACCCACCAATCTGTCCATGAACTGTAGGATGAAACCAGAGCACCCAGAGGAAACCTACATAAACATGGGGAGAACATACAAACTCCACACGGATAGCACCATAGGGATTTGAACCCAGGGCCCCAGTGCTGTGAGGCAAAAAGTTTAACATTTATACCATTTGTACTAATCTGACATAAATGATGTGAACAGCTCCCGTAACAAACAGAATTGAAGGCCGGCCTACAGCAGTAAAGAAAGATAAAACAGTCCAAGGTCCTGTTATGAATGCAGATCAAACAGCTATTAACTAAGAAACAAAAAGGAATACCTTGTATATCCGCTGCCATGGAACTCGGAGCTGTTAAAATTCTTTATTACCGTTTGCTGCAAAGATAGAAAAAAAATATTTACAAATAGAAGACCCTCTTAGGTTATATCTGCTGCTATAATTCAGAGAAGCTCCGAGTCAGCTCTCACCCACCCCAGAGCTTAGTCTGCCTCCAGTGAGCTCTGTCTGCGTCAGTGCTAATTCATCAGCAGCTATTGTTGAATATCAAGCTAAATGGCCGACCACAGGCCTCTGCCAGTCCCTGCTAGGAAGCAATATGACTCATCGCTGGAGCTATTTGAAAAACAATACGCTCCTCTGCAACCTAAAAGACTACTGTCTCGTCCCAAATTAGCCCACATTGCTGAAATGACCAATTCTGCATTAAAACGATGTAAGTGGAAAAACTGTTAACACAACAACAAAAAAAAATCCAGTTTAGGAACCAGTCCTGAAAATAGCAAATGCATGTGAAGCACGGTCACAAGGCAAGTGCAGTACGTCTCTATTTGCAAATGTATAATCTACACGTTATATTCCTGATTTTCTGCTGTAGCAAAGATTAGTTTTGCATGTGCCATAGCATTAATACTATTGGCTGTCTTTTCTTACAGATGGTGTGCACAAAGACTTTGGCCCAAGGACACACGGGTAACATACTACTGTATATCTACATGGATTTTACACAAAGTGTGTAAATGAATTTCTGAAGGCAAGACTATTTTCTCTGCCAAGCCATGCTGTAAAATAAATGTACACTCTTGGTTCTAAATTTATGTATTAACCAATTGCTTGCAGAAAACATATGAAAGGGCTGCAAAACAAATTGGCTCTTAATCTTTCAGCATTTGCTTCAGTACCTCTTCTTGAAATGCAGCCTGCCTGATGTATTACTTCATCAGAGATGTTGCCTAATTTCAGAAGGGCATATTTACACTATCTGATCAGAGGAATCATCACTACTGAAAAGTATTTGAATTCACATCAAGTATCTAACAGCACATCTTTCCTACTTGTCCAGAATCTCTTAAAAACAAAGGAGGATACACTAAACACCTAGTTCAGGTAAGACACCTTCCTTACTGGTTATATTGGATTTTAGGAGTTGGATTATTATCTGTACTCAATGGCAATCTGATGGAAAGCCTAACTAGACTAAAGGCTCTGTGAGTGTAGGAGTTTCTTTTCTCCTTGTGACAGTAAGACTTTATTTTAAGCAACTAGACTGTAAAGTTTGAAACATCAGCTGTTCTGAACCGAGGAGCTCCCTCAGGCTGACATGAGTGGACACAAAAATGTAGCGGCGTGTAAAAATCAACATTGCCCCTCAGTAAAACATCTCCGACGTCAGGTCTGTTTCTGGGTTTTTGATCTGAAGTTCGGCGTTTAGTTTGGAAATAGTTATATATTTGGTTTAGTGAATGAATTACTACACATAGTGGTGGCTGGGATAGCGTCTCGCTGCCAAAGACTAAAAAAACGTTGAAGAAAAGGTGTTGCTGATTCTACAATAGCGATCTTGAGATCCTTTACCCGTGAGTGACAAGGACGTGGATCAACTAACTTACCTCCACATTGCCGCAGGTTTGAAAGGCGGTAAACATAAACATAAACCCGAACCCCAAGATGACGATATTAAGAAGCATCTTTTTATCCGGACCCATCTCGCGATCTTGTCCTTGTACCCAGCGAAGGGACCTCGGCAAATCCTACAGGGTGAAAGACAGCAATCAGTAGTTATGTGCCTCAGAGTTCGTGTCGTTCACAGGTATGTACACCCTGAAACAACCACATAGCTGTACCAGGAAATCACTAGTTTCACCGCAATAGGGGCATATTATACTCATCGTGCGTTTGCTTGAAATCACCATCACACATCTTTAGTTACTTGTAAAAATGACAGTTGGGGAAAGGTTAAAAAACCGAGAACTGCGTCCTCTACCTCCTGAGATATGAATTAATAATACGGTTGCGAAAGCATACCTCCGGATAATATCTATGCGGCGTTACGGGACGGGCGTGGATGTCCGCAGTTCAGCTTTTCGTACTGCTGGTAACCATTCTGAAATCGTCTCAGCCCAGACGAAGAGTCAGATGATCTATCCGTAGCTACGGTTTTCCGTCGGGCATGGAAACTATAATCCGCCGGTAATAAAGTACTGCAATTTACTGTGTGTGCAAGACCGAGACTGATGAGTTGTCATGTGAGGAGCTCAGCTGATCTGCGAGACCGCAGCAAAGAGGCTTCTGGGATGTGTAGTTTTTTTAATTTACCTCCCGCTGAGCTGCGGCCGCAATCGAGTTATAAAGAAACAACCAGAGAAATTCTGGTTTCCGCCCAGGCCACAGAACTGAAACTGCATTAACAAGAGATTTAAATGATATTCTTTTAGCAACTGACGCAGGGAATCCAACAGTGCTCCTAGATTTTAGTGCTGCCTTTGACACAGTTGACCATTGTATTTTGCTACACGGGCTTGAGTCTGAGGGTTGGCCTATGTCCTTAAGTGGTTTACCTCCTATTTAACTAACCTTTCACTATGTTAAAACATCTAATATTTTTACTGCTTTATCACTGTCACCAGTCAAATTTGGGGTACCACAGGGATCAGTGCTCTGACCAGTATTGTTCTCTCTGTACGTTGCCACTAGGTAGGATAATACGAAAGCATAATATTACCTTTCATTCCTATGCTACACTAAAATATACATTTTTAATTTACACCTAATGACAACTTGTCAATTGTCACTTTAGCTAATTGCATTAAGTGAAGTCTTGGATCTGTGAAAACTTTTTGTCACTCAGCTCTGATAAAACTGAGTTTCTGTTGTTTGTGGGCTACTGCTGCTGTTTGGATAAGACTGCTATAACCTCAGCACTCAACTCTGAGGGTTTAAAACTTTGCCTCAAAGATTCGGCACGTAAGGCTCTCATTTAACTCTCATGTTAATGCAGTATCGAAGGTGTGCTTCCTATAGGTAAGAAAGATTGCAAAACTAAGGTATTTCCAAGACACAGAGAAACTAATACATGTTTTTGTATACAGCAGATTAGATTAGTGTAATGCCCTACTATCAGGGATCACCTATCGAACTTTCCATACCTTACAGCGAATTCAAAACTCAGCAGCTAGAATTGTTACTAGTAGTAAAAAGTATGGCCACATAACAACTATACTTAGCTCTCTCCATTGGCTTCCTGTCAGGTACAGGACAGACTTCCAATTTATTTTACTTACTTATAAGGCTCTCAGAGGTCAGGCACCTGTCTATTTAGTGGAGCTGATTAATGTATACAATCCAAGTTGCCCACTTAGATCGCAGAATGCAGGTCTTCTTTTTATTCCACATATTAATAAAAAAAACAGCTGGCAGTAAAGCCTTTAGCTACAAGGACCCTAGTTTATGGAATAGTCTGCCTGCCTACGTACGGGATGCCAGGTGAATCAAAGGATTTAAATCCAGATTGAAAACCTATTTTCAAACTATCCTATTCTCCTCCCCATATGTCCAGATGGCACCCTGACTGGGCATCATCTGAGTTGGATGCTGCATCACCGCCATGGATCCAAGAAGGACATTGCGATTTGCTGGTCTACAGAGATCTGCATGGAGTACTGACACACATTGAAAGTTGATTATAAATGACAAATTCTTCAATGTATTTGGACATTTTTCAGTTATAAAAAATACTAATTAAGTGCCTATCTTAAGTGCTCACTATCACTATCACTTATCATTTTTAGTCCTGAGTTAGGGTGATGCAAACTCCAAGTCTGTCATAGGCTGGAGTGAAACTGAAAATGGTGCTCTGGAGTTGTTAATGTATTATGTGTTGTCTTAGTAGCAATCAAGGATAGAGTGTCTGTCCCTTATTGTCAGGAAGACTGTCACTGCTTTTTCGCTAGCCAGAGCCGGACATTGGACACATATGCTAGTCTGTATCTGTAGGAATTGAATGTCTGTATTTAATCATGGAAATGAAACGTGTACATGAATCTACATGAATGTTTATGAGATAAAATAACCCAACCAAATATCAAGTAGAGTAATACGCCTATATAAAATTGTGCTGTCAGGTTGTGTGATTCAGAGTTCAAAATAATACATCAGCCCTTAACTACAGAAACTGATTGAATATCACATGCAATTAAAACATTTTTACAGTTTTCTTATTCTTTAAATTATTTAATGTGTTAACATTTTTAAAGAGGAGAATAACCAATAATCGCTTAAACTGGTGTGTGCTCCATTCTATCAAAAAAGAAAGAACAGAATCAAACGGGACACACACATTTTCTCACATTCAGGAAACCAGTAAGGAGTCTCAATTTTTACACTAGAATCTTACGCTTTGCTCCAGTCTTTGGTATCTCTGACCCCGGAGACAGTGTTGTAATAGGTTTTGGAAAGCACACAAAGTACGCGTAGTACATAAATAGACAGAAGGGCACAGATTTAGTTTCCACACCAGTTTCATAGTTTGTCATATGCTCTCCAGTTGAAGAGGTTAGTCTACAATCTTTTAAATATTGCTCGTCCTTTTACCTTCACTGTACAATGCTCGGTATTTTAGTATATCATATATTTACAATTACTGTATTTGTAATCACAATGAAATTATTTTTTTTAAAGCCTACGTTTTTGTGAGGGTAACGAGAGTTCGGCGAGGGGATACTTTGTGGAGACGCAGGAACAGGTGTACAGTAAATGTCCAGTCTCTATCGGCTAAGTAACTTATTAACTTATGTTTATCATATAAACAGTAACATTCAAAACCGCATCAGCTAGTTTAATTAGGTTCTCACATGAAATAGTTGGCTTCATATTATGCTTGATTTATTTATATTCAATTAATGTTTCGGTTATTGACACTACACGTGCCTCGTGTAACTTTCGAGTTAATTTACTATGTATTTTCTGCATGGTGTGCTTTGAATGACATACAACGGCATGCCAAGATCCCAAAACTCACATATACTGTATACTCTATATTAAGATCCTGTGAACTTATTCCTTTTAAAACGTTATGTTTTTTTAGAAGTCGAGTATTTACGTTTACTGTTTATAATATAAAACGATATCGATAAATGAAACGATAGACTACTATACTTCTGCTACGATTACTGTGAACAACAACTCTATAGTCCTACTGTTACTGAACTGCAAATGCGGTACCACTAGAATTGTACTACTGCTATGCTACTACTGCTTCTAAAATTAATAGTAATAACAACGATGACAAGTGTACGTGAACTTGGTCCTCTGGGCGGTAAAAAGAAACTTAGGGCCAATATCGTATTTTTAAGTTCCTGGTTACATCATCAGGTTATTTTTGCTTGATTTAAATACATACAGTACTAGAACCACCCTTGCCAGATCTCTTCTTTAATCTGTCATTGAACTATAAAAGAACTGTGTACATTCAGTAACCATTCTGTAGAGTAGAAACCAATTTTAACCTACAACGTAGTGCTCCAATAATGCCCTAAGACACGGTTTATTTTCCACCCGTATCTAGATTTTTTTGCATTTTACTAACTTTCTCTCTCCTTGTAGTGTGGTTTAAAATCTGAGAGGAAACACAGCTGCAAAAATATTGACTGTTTCGTTTTAATGGACATTGGCAGATGCATTAAACTATAATTCATCGTTTCATATACAGTAATATAACTTATATTGTTACTGAGTTATAACTTTGCACGGTGTCATGTTTCGGTAGTTGTTGGCATTGTTAATCGATAATGGTTCCTAATCTTGGAAAAGCTCTGGACAACATGACTAATGACTGAAAGAACAGGAAGGCAAAATTGTACCTCACATTTCATACTAAGAGATAAATACTATGTACTTTTTAACACTCTACGTGGAGTTTCAATCGATTTTTCAAACTTCCCTACTAATGACCGTTCATATAATTAACTTCCGGTGTCACATCCGGTTTGCTAGGCAAAATATCACCAAAAACAAACTGAAAATAACAAGATTTTTATTTTAGAAATATTTTTACAGACTCAAAAGCGATGTTTATACCGTAATGTGTGGATACTGATTAATTTAGAATAAAATAATAATAGTTTTAAAAGAGTGTCTATAAATAGCAGCTTTTGGGCGCTCAATCCGCCATTTGGTGTGGAGAGCGAAAGCAGGGCTTGTGGTGCTTTGTTGGTGCGCGTAGCGTGGTTTTTTTGTACTAAGTGTTACTATGGTTATTATTGGGTAGATTATCAGCTTGAAAATAACGACAGTGAAAGTACAAGTAAGTAGGGTGTCTGAGCGGGTTTGAGTTTCTAGACGGTGTGTTTTTGTTTTTTTCCTCTTGAGACAAAATGAGTTACGGTAGGCCGCCGCCCGATGTCGAGGGCATGACTTCCCTCAAAGTGGATAACCTGACCTACCGGACGTCGCCGGAGACTCTTCGGCGGGTCTTCGAGAAGTACGGCCGGGTCGGAGACGTCTACATTCCCCGGGACCGGTACACCAAGGAGAGCCGCGGCTTCGCCTTCGTCCGTTTCCACGACAAGCGGGACGCCGAAGACGCCATGGACGCCATGGACGGCGCGGTGCTGGACGGGCGGGAGCTGCGGGTGCAGATGGCCCGGTATGGCCGGCCACCGGAGTCGCACTACGGCCGGCGTGGCGGCCCGCCTCGGAGGTACAGTGGCTACGGCCGGCGGAGCAGGAGGTGAGGGCTGGGCGGTGGAGCTTCAGCGGGTTAAACGGCGCTGGCTCCGGGGCTAGATAAACCGCATTGTGGGGGAGACTCCTGGATGCAGAACAAAGAACTGCAAAGTGTAGTAACGCGCGCACACTCTGCTTTTATAGAAAACGTGGGGTGAAGTTCGACATAATCTGCATTCAGGTTACATTTTGTGGAGGGATCTTAAAGATTCTCCACTTATGTGAAGATCTCCAGTTATTGGTAGTGCTTACGGAAAGTAATCTTTCCTGATTAGGTAAGGGGCTTACACTGAGTCGCAGGGGAGCAGGTAGTCAAGTTATGTATCGCCTAGATGGCGATATTCCTTCCGTTCAAAAAGAAGCGATATTTATAGGAGGGGCCAAGATAAGGGTTTGCGGTCTTTTCTTTTTGCAGTCCTCGCCGCCGTAGACGCAGCCGGTCCCGAAGCAGAAGCCGTTCCCGATCTCGCAGCCGATCCCGCTATAGCAGATCCCGCTCCCGCTCCTATTCCCGGTCCCGATCCCGCTCCAAATCCCGCTCTCCACGGAGGAGCAAGTCCAAGTCCGTGTCCAGATCCCGCTCCAGGTCCAAGTCCCGTTCCCGGTCCAGAAGTCGCACGCCGCCCTCCAACAGAGACTCCAAGTCCAGATCGAGGTCGAAGAGTGTGCCCAAGTCCCCAGAGGAGGAAGGAGCGGTTTCCTCGTGAAGTTATGGTAAGTGCAGCTGAATGAGTACATTCGTTGGCATTGGGGCATGTGAGTGAGCAGCAGCAGTAGGGCAGCATGTATTTAACACGATTGTACTGTTAATGGTAAGGGGGTAGCTGTTGAGGGAGGGTGTTGGGAGTATGGCATCCTTATGGTTTGCTTCAAGCATGATTTAAAAAGCTGTTCTATAATAGTAGTCTTTCTCCAGCCTTTTGTATCGGTTATGTGACACTTCTGCCTAAAAGGCAAGACTGAGAAGAAACTTTCTGGAAGAAACCCAAAAGGTTTTGAATTGTTTTTCTTGCTTTGTGATGTTAACTGAAGGTGCAATAGATTGGAGAAAGCTACTTGACCTGTACATTTCTGAACTTGCCGTAGTTTGTATAATGAATATACAACTTGCATCACTTTGATGTAATTTTTGAAAATTGTTCAGTTTCGGCAACTTGTATTTGTACATGAAGTAAATATTTTGCAGTTAAGACTGGTACGGAAGTAAAATATATTCACCAAAAATGTGGAATTTTCTCCTCCAAGCTGCTGTTTCCTGTTTGCAAAAGTGGAGTTTGGGGCAGTTTGTGCAGTTAGAGGTTGTGTGATCCGCCCAGGGGCCGCCTCCTGCTGTTGGGGTATGCTTTGGAGCAGGTCGGTCACAGTCAGTAATGAGGTGGTGTTGAGGTACGTCTGCAGGACAATGGAGAGGAGCCTTGCATTGTCCTCCAGGTCATGCGGTCATGACTGTGGGCTCACACACTAAAGCAGGAGAGTGAAAAGGTTTGTGCGCCTATTTGTTCATGTCAGGGACATAAAGGTCAAACTATTGCTTAAGTAAAATTTGCACTTTCCCCAAGACTTTTTCTAAACATTGGACTTAATGTATAAAATCCCTTTACAGTAAAAATACAAACCTATGAATTCTTTGGTTGCCTTTCCTACATCTATAGGCTGGTTATGGTGCTGGTTCTACACAAGCACTGAATTTTCTTGTCTAAGCCCTACATTTATCAGTAACTTAGACATTGGCATGGCTGAGGAGTGTCTACCACCTCACTTGCAAACTTGAAGGTAACGGCAAACTAAATGATGACTTCTGCAGTTAAACTGAGTTAGTCTTTGAATGTATAGTGATTTTTAAGTTTAATGTACAGTATTAGATAGTGCCTCTGAAGTAAAGGTAGTCAGCCATAACGCTTCTCTTGCCTTTGCTGCTTGCTCACCCCTTTCTCTTTCTTTCTAGATTGTTCACGTGAATGACCGATCCCACTGAGGACACCCCATCGAAAGTAAAGGTCTCAGGCTGAGGACCCCCCTTTCCCCAAGAGAAATTTGCTGGCTAAAAGGTTATTATTGTAAATTAGTTTCCAAGGTTTTAAAGGAGTTTCTTTTGCTTTGAGTTGCCTAGAATAACGAGGCTGATTTTTATTTTGTGCCATGTTTTCCAATTTCTTGTAATTCACTGAATAGGAAGAACGTCAGATACTTTATGGGCTTGTAAGTGAGGTAATTTGTTTTTCTGTTTTAATGTGATGCAGTGCTGAGGCTTTTTGTATATAGTTTTGAGTATAAACACGTGGCCCAGGGAGCATATGGTAGTCTAAAAATGCTATTTTCCAATTTTGGCTTTGCAGAATAAATTTGGATATTTCTAACATTTAGGTGCTCTTATTAGCACACATTTTTCTCCAGAAAGAGCCAGGAGAGAGCTGATTTTTCTCAAATTAGGATTTACCAATATTGAGTAGCTCAGTTTAAATGAATCCGGCACTGATTTAATGAATTGCATCTTTGTAAATGACAGTTTTTCTTATTGTGATTCTAATCTTTTCTCTTGTGTATTTTTTGTGCACTAGGCGCAGTTGTGTAGCAGTTGAGTATTGCTGGTTAGCTGTTAAGGTGGCGTGTTGCAGTGCAGAGTGCTTGGCTGTTTCCAGTTTTCTCCCGATTGCTCCAGTGTAACGATGCCTTGGCGTGCTGATGCATAAAAGGGCTGCTGCAGATTTTTTCTTTTCTAAAATGCCGGTCTGCTGCACCATGGGTCATCCCCCCAACTCCCCACCCCTCATTTAGATAATTTTAATTGGAGCATACAGTGAGCACATCTTGCCATTCTTATACACACCTTATGGTTTTTCAGTAATGGTAACTTGTAAAACTGAGAAATGTATTTTAATTGCATTCTATACATTGTTCTTGGTGCATTCCCTTGTAATTCTTTTGCTATGATGTATTCTGTACTGATAACCACTCATGTGAATGCTATTAAAATTCTTTTGGTGTAATGGTTTTTTTACCTTATTTTTGTTTCTTGCATGAATGCTGGTAATTGTGGGGGGGTTCCACAAACAATACACATGTAGAAGACCATACCGTTCCAGTCATTAAAAGTTTGCTCAAAACTACAACCCGAGTAGTTTGTTTAGACTGTGTTTCTGTAGCTAAGTGTTCATACATCCTAAACTTTAATTCCACAAGAAAAGGGAGTATGATTTATAGTATTTGATTAAAATTTATGCAAGCTGTTAAATTTTAGATGCTTTTCCAGGTTTGGTTCATCTGTTTTTTTAGAACCCAGTTACTTCTGCGGTTGATGTGAATAACCTACTTCCAATAGTTTTTGTGCTAAAAATAGTTCTGCAGGCTTTTCTTCTAGGATATTCCAGTTTAGGATTTGGGATCCTAAGTCTTAGTATTTCCCTCCTTAATGCTGTTGAATAGCATTACCAATTTGGACCTGGAATTGATCTGTTGGATGCAAATACAAATCTCATTTTAACTGGACTAGTAGGATTACATTTTTATTGGTGGGATTAATGTTACATGAAATTGCACTTCAGTGAACAAAGGAATTACAGCAAGTTATTCAAAAGGCCTTTTGAAGTTGGAATGAAGAAGGAATTGGTGGTAGTCAAATTGGATTGTGATCTACCTGTACAGTAGATAACCATAAAAACTGGAGTTCTTGCCAAGTTTTAGTGTACAACTTTATTGCAGAGACATGCAAGTTTTTAATATGTACAGCATTTACATTATATGAAGTACAGGGTTTCAAATACCATAATGTAAACTTAATCTGTAAGTTTGTAATGTGCTGACCTGCACAATATTAAACTAGCCTTTTCAGTTGTATTAAGCAGTTTTACTAAGCAAGAAAAATTGCAATGACTGGAAAAGGCTGTATACTATTCCATGCCGTCATCTTAGTAGTAGAGATTAGCATATGGGGCTCTTGCCTTTTAATTAGCCTAAATGTTTGGCTGGACATTATTTCACCTGGACTTTGTGAAATGTCCATTTTCTTTAATGGTTACACCTGGAAATCCCTTGGGGAAGGGGAGATGGTACCAGCCAAATTAACATGCTTGGACTTGCTTATGCTTAATGAAGTAGTCATTCTCCTTGTGCTTCAAGCAGAAATGTTTCAAATTATCACCCAGTACTTTTGTCTGTGTGATTTGCTTCTCCCATATAAATAGTACAATTTATTATAAAAATCAAATATAAATAACTACTGCAAGTCTCCATTAACCCAGGATGACAACCACAGAGAAGAATAGCCCTTCAATAAATCTCTCCCAACTATAACTAATCAAATCTTAAGAATCTAAGGGAAGATGCTTAGAGGTTTGGGGTGGTTCTGAACTAAACTTGTAAGGAAATTCGGATGCTGGAACCTGCTTGTGCTTATTTTTTGTATAGCATTTTTGCCTATACAGTAAATGTATCTATTCCTGACTTCTTGTACCCCATCATTTCCCTAGACGTGATGATGAAGAGAAACCTTTATTAATTTAGACATACAACATACACCTGTAGGTATTTGAAACTAATTCCAGCAAACTAATATTAAGATTAATTCTTACACAAAGTGCTCATAGTATTCTTTATGCTTACACTAAATGAGTAGGTTTGTATTTGGCAGGACAGTGTAGATGAGGTCCATCTGTTTCCACATGTAATTTCAGCATCACTATTTCAAGGCTCCTTCATAGTGATGATCATCATTTGCACAGTGTGGTTTCCGGGCAGGTTTGACCCTGCCAAGCACTGTTTATCAGCATGAAATGCTTCTGGAGGAATGTGAACACACTGCAGGTTCCACTTGCGGAGGAGAACTTCTATGGACCAATCTGCACTACAAAAAAAAGTTGGTATTCACACAAGGCTGCAGTTTGGGCATGCTGGCTAAGAGACAGGTCACTAGTACTTAGTCATTAGTAACCAGGCTTTAATGAGGTAAAACTGGAACCAAGTTAGCCATCGTACACAAGAGAGTAACCAAAATAAACCAGTCACTGAATAAAACAAAAGCAGGTTTTGGAGGGGGGCTATTCTGCAAAACAATTATGTAAAAAATGCAATTCAACAATGCTTTCACATTGCACTGTACAGTATACTTCTATAAACCCTCACCTTCGCTCTTGGTATGTCATCCAGAACTGTGCCCGATTGCTCCTCCTTAATAGGAAGGAGATGGTCACAAGGACATCTTCAAAGTCTGCAGAGGAAACGCAAACATTCTAGTGATATCTATATAAATCATTTCAATACACGGGAGGCTGTAATTTTTTATTCTTAATATTATCTTACTTAGAGATAGTATAGTCAAGGGTTGTCCTCAAGGGTCAGAGGATTTGTCTTTTCATTCCATTTCTGATCTTACTTAAAATGAACGAATTGTCTGGTATTAAATTTTTCACATGCATTGCCAGTACCTCCTAAGCAAAGCAGGATTCATGGATCATCAATTAATGGGAGTTCAATTTAAAAAGTCAACTCCTGTGGAACCACTAACCCTTCCTGAGTGTCAGATTGTGGTACTTAATCCAAAATGAAATACAAATCGGAACCATCTCTAGCAAAGAAATATCACACCAAAAATGATTAAAGAAAATGAATTTCTTAGGTCTTGAACATGAGAGTTGGCAGAGCCAACATAAAAATTTTTAACATCCTAAAAGCTAGTCAAGAAGGTCTACTTGTGGCTCACAGACTAAACAACACAAGGGCACAAGCAGAATTGGACCGCAGGTGTATCTGGAATAAACAAAAGCATTTCCCCCTTACATTTTCTCCAGCTTTTCTCCTTTAAGACACAGATGAAATACTGAAACTGATGACGTGTCATTACTACAAGTCATGTGCTCTGTTATATCCTTGTGAAAAGGGGGGGGTGGAGAAAGAAACCAGGACAGACATGCTCCCAAAAAACCGCAGGCTCACCCTCCGGCTCGTAAAAGACATCCGATCCGAGGATGACGTCCAGCGGAGGCAGGAGCAGCATGTCCGGAGATATCCTCCCCCAGGTGAGCCCCATCACACGCATGTCCGACAGGCCGTTGGCCTCACAGCTCCGCCGGCAGTTTTCCAGGCACTGCGGCCGCTCCGCGTCATCCGAGAGGATCACGTGCGCCCCGCACTTCGCTGCCACCACCCCCGGCAGGCTCACCCCCGATCCGATCTGCAGAACCAGACAGCCTGGTCAGGACGGCAGCAGGGACGCAGTGCGGTCAGTTTCAATGACATCGAGGCACTACAAAGCTCAGGCCGCAGGCGCTGGCCGAAGGACATTGACCTTGGTAGCGAAGTCCATCACTTGCAGCATTTGGAGAAGGAGTAACCACATTTTCCCTGTTGTGCTACAGATCACATTAATTAAAGCTGTACGAACTACATCTTTAATCGAAAACAAAAGGATCAAGAGATGGCGTCACCCAAGTGTGACAGGGGTCTCCGAAAACTAAAAGGAAGTCCAGTCGGGACCACAGAGTAGGAAACACTTCCTTAAACAACCAATAGTGGGGGTCTGGTGTCAAGTGTGACTGAGGCCAAAACCCTAGGCTTCAAGAAATGGGTGTGGATAAAATTTTAGATCCTGCTGGCTATTAAAATATTAAATAAGCACGATGGGCTGAATGACCCCCTCATGCTTGTTTGCAACCTTCTAACCTTATCTCTGTCCCCACATGGCAGCATGGGAAAAGACAATGGGTATATAGTTTATTTGTGATTTGTGCCCGAATTTTATTGTTGCCTTGGTTCAGTGAATGATGGGAACGCAGGGCCTACTATATCCATACAGCAGGGCAGGACCCATAAAAGCACTGTACTCTTCATACCAGTGTACATCCGCTTAGCAAAGAGCAAAGAGTTCGATTTCAAGCACTCGTTTCATGCAACGGCGCCAAGCCGCAGTCTCTTCGTAAGCTGCAGCGCTCTGATTCCTGAGGCCTCACGTCATTCAGCAGATTCTAAAGGACTTGCCTCCAGCACATCCTTCCCCCCGAGCTCCTCTTTGTGCCCCCAGACGTACTGCGCCAGCACGACCGCGCAGGGCCACACGTACATCCCATACTGGGGGTCCACGACCTGCAAGAGATTCGCAGAAACGGTGGCTGATTCTTCAGAGGGCTAATGGAGGTCAGCTCCTGACCCCTCACACACCACATACAGCCTAGCATGGGAGTCGGGACGATGCCTCAAATCTAGAACTGGACAGTGTCCCCAGCTTCAAGTGAACAGATCTATTAAGGAGCTTATGCCTTAAAATGCTACCCAATACGTACACACTCCTACCCACCAGTGCTACTCTAGAGATTAATGATAGTATAAGTTTCGCCATTTTATTTTAAAAGTTTTTTTACTTATCAGATTTCTCTGCTAAGGAAGGTCAACTGCTAGCAGACAGCCCCCTACTGTGGATATAAAAACATACTCTGCCCATATACCAAAATTGGAACATGTTGTTTTTGACAAATTAGTAACTGTTAGAATGGTATAATTTAAACACCTGTATTAAATCCATCGTACATTATTAATTTCTTACTAAGTTACTAAACACTATACAGTACTTGTTTTCCTTGTGCTGTTTCATTTCTGGGTTCAAATCCCAGGTGGGATGGTGTTGCAGCCTTGAGCAAGGTACTTCACTCAGATTACTTCCAAATATATACATATATGATGTATAAATAGTTGCTATCGGTAACAAAACATTCAAGTAAACGATAGAAGTCAAGACTTGGTATTGCCGTTAGGTTAACATCAAGGTAATGTGACATTGACTACCCAATTGCGTTGTATTACTTGAATCACATATTTAAGAAATGAAAAAATTAACACATTTTAACATAGTAACCTCAGGTATGGAAACAATCAAGGACTGTGATTCAGTCTGTCCCTCGTCTTCGAACTTAAATTGCTTCAGTCCAGTCCTCAACTCCTCCGCCTCGCTCATTCTACTATTAAACTAACTACAGCAACTACGGAAACATCATGCCCTCACTATCACCTCAGAAGAAACAGATGAGCAACTACGACAATTAAAATACAGCAGTTATAGTGGAAGATCAGTGAAGTCTACAGCGATAGTAGAAGGTAGACATCACTGCTGGGGGAAACTAGGAGTCCGCGTTCCAACAATTCAACTTCACTTCCGCCCCATCTCTCGCGGTTACGCCTGCGCACACCGCTCACACCTAAAACATTATTTATAGATGTAATAGAACATGCAACTACGCAAACTTAGGGTACTTTATATTACCGGGATAATATCTGGCACTGTGCGTTCTTCTGGCTACAGCACGACAAAAATGATGTAATGAAAGTATAGCCTATTGTTATCACTTTTTAATTGTTCCTTTTAAGTTGTGTGATCTACCCCAGTCAAAAAGAAAAACTTTTATATATATGGAAAAGAAATACACAATAATTATGTAAAATGACATATGAGCGTTCCTTATTCTCAACATGGCGAATCAGGAAACTGGATATTATTTAGCCGACACTAACGCACTTTTTTCTTAAAGGAGCTTCCCGCGACAACCAACCTTTACAATGAGAGTTCAGATGAGCCCGCGGTGGCGGAGGCGGGGACTCTGTCTCGTCCAATCAAATCGCCAGGCCAAGCTTCCAACCACGAGCGTTTACTAATCAACAACCACTTTCGGTCACGAGGGCGGAGCGGGAGGGAGTGCGCGTGCTTGGTTTCAACTCCAAGCAGCGAGTGTGGCGGCGTGAAATTTCTAGAAATGAAGGGTCTTGGGTTTTAAAACTGTGGCTCGGTGCCGGAGTAAAAGGTTCGACTTCTGCGAACACGTCAAAAAAAAAGTGTTCGCAGACGCTGTATCTTCGTCTTAGGCTGTTTGTTGTTCATTAGTTTATTCTAAGCACAGTGTCAATAAAGCAGTATCACTTTGCTACAGTCCGGTTCTTTTGTCGCAGCGAAGAAATGAACCATAAAAGTAAGAAGCGGATTAAAGAGGCGAAAAAGAGCGCCAGACCCGAACTGAAGGACTCATTAGACTGGACGAAACATGGGTACTACGAGAATTTCGATTTATCACACCGGACAGTCAAGGTAACCCCCTAGCGACGTGTTTCTCCGTATGGGATGTAACCGAGTAAGTGAGAAGTTGGGGATGAGAGACGTGCGCTTGTGCTCGTCCCGGCAACACTTTCTGGAGGACGTGCGGAGGCGCACAATTACGTGTGTAACTAGCTCGCCTCCCTAGTCATCAACCAGCCCAACTCTTCTTTCTCCCCCTTTTATAAAGCGCTTAGGTTCAGAGTAATACTGCTTTTAAAACTAGCGAAAGTTCTTCCTTTATTTTTGCTGCGCCCCTCTGCTCCTGAGTGATGCCCCGTGATTATTTTTTAAAGTCACCAAGCCCTTGCCAAGAAGCTTTCTTCGGCCATGTGGTTAGCTCGTTAGACTGTCTTGAACTAGGCTCAGGACTGAATTGGCCACCCGTGCGCATCTGGTTGGAACAGGTAGCGGACGTGTCTTTCGCAGAGCCGCCCGATCGACGTCTAAGATCAGAGCTAGGCGGGATGTTTATATTTTTCGATGGCAAAACCTTCATACTTGGCATTTGGGTAACTTAATCGTAATTCAAAATGTGTGCGGTTGATCCCGAGAAATGTGTTGTTAAACGTTTCCTGGTGTGTCTTGCTCTTCAGGAGCAAGATTGAGATTAAATTTGTTTGAGGGCTTCAGTTCAAATATCTAATTTGCTAACTTGAAATCGATACCACAGACTCGATCTCGCCTCCTAAAAGAGGATTATTGCCAGAATTATAATTAAGACAGATATTCTCCAAACCGATTATTCAGTATGGTTCCCATCTTGTGTATTCTTCAGTGGGTGTTGCAAATGTCATGTGAATCTTCAATTAATTGCTACTGTTAAAGAGTATACTGTATATCAGGGTGGCCTTCCTTTGTACAGCGCCACAAGACAGCAGGTTTTAATGGGTCACCCTTAAATCATGAGTTCCTCAGCAGCTTTGACCACTGAAGCTGGTGATGTGGTACATGTTATGTAATTTAATGATCTCTGTGAAATGCAAATACTGATGCCCTATAGTTTCAGGAACACTGAGAAACATTTGGTAATTCCTGGATTAATGGAATCAGTTCACTCGATTAACATGTTCAAACCAGCCCAACTCACATGTGACCCACATGTGATGCTGAAGTGGTCAAAAGAGAGCATTTTACCATTTATATGCCAATATTCTTAGATTACACATGGAACAAAAGGACCTTAACTACCTGTGAGCTGAAACTCTTAGAAGCTCCCCATTTGCAAAGCTGAAAATGTCATCCTTTTGTGGTCAATTAGTATAGGAGAAATTGTTTCCCTAGTTTGAACACTTCTTCTGAATACCTTTTTATGTGTTACCATAGGATTTTTTATAGACCTGTTGTCCTTGAGAGTTTTTTTAAATTGGTGTCAAGCCAAGAAAAGTTTGTAATGAAACAAACCTCCCTTCTTGCATGCGAAGATATAACAGGTTTTAACAGGAGCAGTGAGTGGTTCCCCTGGCCCTCTGTGCCTGGCCTAGCAGTCAGGTGCTGGAGAGTTTATGCTGGCGATGCAGAGGAGATGGCCTGCTCATGTCTTGCACGTACTGTACTCCAGCAGCACTGCACACTTAACACAGTCTCCTGGTGGGGGCGGCTATTAATACACAGAAACAGCAGAGCCAGCGAGCTAGAGAGGTCTGGCAGTAAACAAGTTCTGTTTGCTGTCTGTTGCAGAAGTAACATGATTTTGCTCTTAAAATGAGTTGAGTGAGGCTGTGAGTGGAAACATTGACACAGGCCCCTGAGACTCTGATTAGGGCTGTTTCTGTTCTTGAGCAGTTTAGGCTTGGAACAGGATACTGGTCCTATAGTGTAGGGATTTCTGGTATTAGACTTTTGTAGAAAGGAACTTTAATGTGTTATTTTGTCTGTGACAAAGATTTTAATTCTGCAAAATGTATCCACTTTTATCCGTGCCACTCTCCTAGGTATCCCCTGTAAATAACATTTTATTGATAAAATATATCTATGTAAACTTTAAATAACCTTCTGGAAACGCTTTCTGGGAATATGTACTCTTAGAGTATGAGGTTAGAAATGCCACTTTTCTATTTCACATCTGAAGCTGAAGTTCAAGGTCAAGCAAACATTTTCTGCTGCACCTGAGGGGCTTTTTCCTGAAGAATTGCGTTTTACTCAGGACCGCTTGAGTCAATCAGATATTGGTTATTTATTTTTTATTGATGAGGCATTTTGCATCATAAGCTGTAATATTTTAAATGAATTAATTTCCAGTGGTTTCAGTCCACATGTGCAGTAACCTTAGATATAAAATTATTTTTTCCACTGTATTTCTGTGCCCACCCTCCCCACTTTCCCCAGTTCGCACCTTGGTTCACACCAGACTTGCCTTTGGTGTTGTAGTCCCTGTGTGCATCCTCTGATATCACTGCCTGTCCCTTTTGTGTTCTCTCCAAGCTGTGCAAAATCAGCAGACTTTAGCCAAGCTGTTGAGTGTTTGTGCTCTTGGAGGACTGAGCTTTGCCCGGGAACTGGAATGTATAGGTCAGCGTGTCACTGCTGTTCTCAGAACTTGTGCTAAATGTAACCCCTGCTTTATTCTAGGATAACGTGGAGAGGGTGGACAGCCGACATCTGTCTCCAGAGGAGTTCATCGAGCGCTACGAGAAGCCCTACAAGCCCGTGGTGCTGCTCAGCTGCCAGAACAACTGGCCGGGCCAGGAGAAGTGGACCCTGGAGCGTTTGAAGCGCAAATATCGCAACCAAAAGTTCAAGTGCGGGGAGGACAATGACGGCTACTCGGTCAAGATGAAGATGAAGTATTACGTGGAGTACATGGAGTCCACGCGTGACGACAGCCCCCTCTACATCTTCGACAGCAGCTACGGGGAGCACGCCAAGCGCCGCAAGCTGCTGGAGGACTACGAAGTGCCCATCTTCTTCAGGGACGACCTCTTCCAGTTCGCAGGGGAGAAGCGCAGACCACCCTACAGGTAGGAGCAGGAAGGAGGAAATGGCAGACTAGCTTTCGGGACATATCCATTGATCACATTTCAGAAGAAGAGATCCAAATTACATGGCAGGAGAATATTTTGCAAAAGGCTTTTATCATGTACTGTATGCAATTGAGGAGGAAGTTCATTCTTAGCATAATTTCCTACCAAATAACCCATTAAAATCAGTAAATAAGTAGGAAGATACTGAAAGCTTTCTGATATTTACGAAAAAACAGTTCTATGTCGTTCTTTAATTTTTCAGTTTGTTATGGTTTTATAGTTTTATATAGAATACTCAAAGGTTTTACCAGGCAAGGTTTTATTATTATAGTATCATTTTTTTTATTCTTCATGATATTGCCACCAATATCTGTGCCATGTAATGTAATCCCTGATCCCTTGTTCAGCATTGCTGCATGTACCTTGGTTTCTCTGCTGTGTGTACACACAGCCTTGAATATCAAACTGTTTTTTGTCTGTCACGTGCAGGTGGTTTGTGATGGGCCCAGGACGCTCAGGCACCGGAATTCACATCGACCCACTGGGCACCAGTGCCTGGAATTCCTTGGTCCAAGGTCACAAGCGCTGGTGTCTCTTCCCCACCCACACCCCTCGCGAGCTCATCAAAGTGACTCGTGACGAAGGGGGAAACCAGCAGGATGAGGCCATCACCTGGTTCAGTGTCATCTACCCTCGGACTCAGCTGCCCACTTGGCCTGCTGAGTTCAAACCACTGGAGATCCTGCAAAAGCCTGGGGAGACTGTCTTTGTTCCAGGTCAGCTTGCCCATTTCAGCATACTTTTTATGCATCTGCCTTGCTGCATTGCAGAAAATATTGTATTCTTCCTAGTTTTGCCCTCAGTGCTGTATCCTGACCATGTTGATAAAACCCGGCCAATCTGAATTCCCCCATGTAAAGAGAAATGCTCAAGCTGTGTATTGATTCACTTGTTTCCTTTGTTATGGGTGTGCTCCATATTATGTAGAGCTATTGTAGTCTTTTCATGTAATTCACAATCGTACAGGACAGAGGGAATAGTGTTATTGTGGGAATTTCATCTTATGCTGTAGCAGCAACAGTTGTAATCTGCCAGTTTCTGTGACTGTAGTGTCTGAGGATCATATCTCTGAATCATTCATTGTATCAACTCAGCAATTATTCACTAATTCGATATTTATGGGTTTCCAGCTATTTTTGATTATGTATAATAGTACATACATATCTTAATACTTACACAGAAAATCTTGCTGAATCTTATTAATGTCTTGCTCCTTCCCTTTAACATGCAGGTGGCTGGTGGCATGTGGTTCTCAATCTGGACACGACAATTGCTGTCACACAGAACTTTGCTAGTACCACTAATTTCCCCATTGTGTGGCACAAGACTGTAAGAGGCAGACCCAAACTTTCGAGGAAGTGGTACAGGTAGAAATCTTTACTTGGCTTCACTTTAAGGCTGCTTACCCCATATCTGGGTTATTCCATTTTTACGTTTGAGGAGCAGGTGAAAGCAAATACTTCGTTCAGAGTCAATTATTGATTTAAGAATGAGTTAATCGAGTGATGAGGTTTATATAAATCTTTTTTTCTTATGATTTCATTAGAGGCATAGCCATTACAGAGATAACTTGACATCTCTGTTTCTGTGCCAGGATCCTGAAGCAAGAACGCCCGGAGCTGGCTGCGTTAGCAGACTCTGTAGATCTGCAGGAGTCGACGGGCATTGCCTCAGACAGCTCCAGCGACTCGTCTTCCTCCTCATCCTCCAGCTCCTCTGACTCAGACTCTCAAGTAAGACGTCTTAGGGGATAGCGCATCATCCCTCAGCTCAGCACTGACAGACTCCACGGACTCCTACTGAAAGTAGTAGTGAAATCCAAATTGAGTTAACACGGAGAGTGCATTGATAGGAGCGATCATTTTCATGAGCATTTGAAGCCTTGGTATTGCAATGCAAAAATATAATGCGAAATCATTAGCCAGTGATTAGAAACCCCTGCATCTTACAAATTTTATATGCAATTGCGGAACATCATTAAGTTGAACTTCCTTTTCTGTCTTCAGACAATCATTCAGAAATTTCGAGCTCAAATTAAAAATCAACAAACATTTTTACCTTTTGTCTACACCAGAAAATTTGAAATGTGTCTTGATTCTTAAGTATTTCCTTCTGAAGCCTTAAATTTGAAGTCCTGGACTCCTCCTCTAAATTCTGATTGCATATTTTTACTTTAGATCTACTTTTCTGTCACAAAGAATTCTGACATCTAAGCACAAGAGGTGTGATTTCTACAATTTTTCACTCCCTTTAAGTTAAGGATTGGTTACATATCTTGATAGACTGCTACACTTTCATTTTGGCCAGGCCTTTATATTATTTCTTATTAATCTTGTACCTCATAATTAAGATATTTTGAGTGATACGCTAAGTATGCTTTCCCAGGATTTGTTTGCCTGCCTCCTCTTGTCATATTTGCGTTTGTGGAAAATTGTTTGAATAGTACCCAGGTTTTGTAGCCTTTATTTGTTCATGGACAAATCTTTAAAGAAAACTAGACCTGAGTTTTTAGCCTCCTACATTTCACAACAGGTGCGTAAGACCTGACTTGTGTAGAACTTTAAATATTGGACCCCCATAATGACAAACTTTTACATATTTGTGTGCATATGATGACATCTAGTGGCTGTAAGCATGTCTTGAATTGAAATATTTTTCCTTAGTCTTGAGGCTATGTTACTGGCAAACGTCATGTACAGTAGTTAATTGCTTAATAATGAAATGAACTGAGAAAAAAAATCTCCTGTCTGAATAATAAGCTATAATGAGATTAACTTGGATGAATGAAGAAATCTGCTGTTTACTTGAATGAGTGTAATAGTCACTTATCTTTTGGCTTTTGTTACTTGTTTCTAATTGTTGTTGTGTAACACTATAGAGGTGGATAACTATCTTTCTTTTTATAATATTTTAAAGGTGGTGCGCATCCATTTTTTTAGATTCAGGTTTATTTGACTATTCCTTTCATAACCCCTGATTACAGTACTGATTACAGTGATTTCAAGCAGTTTCTTTTATAATGCTCCTGTTCGGAGGATTCATAACAGCTATGCAGTAGCTTGTTGGTATGACTTGGGAAGCAGTAATGACTGATGGATGTTTTTTTCCTGCAGTGTGAGTCTGGCTCAGAGGGTGACACCATGTCGCACCGCAGAAAAAAGAGGAGGACCTGTAATATGATGGGAAATGGTGACTCAACAACTCAGGATGACTGTGTGAACAAAGAGCGCAGCTCCTCCCGGTGACACCCATGTCAGTGTTCTTTCCCCAGTCCTTCCCAGCAGGAACTATTAGGAAAAGGGGGTGTGTGCCTTCTGCCTCCCCGAGGAAAAGCAGAATCCACAAACTGCTGGAGTGCAAGGCATGCAGTTTTAAACCTATGCTTCTTACTGTTTTAATAAGAGGTTTGCCTGGAAGTTATTGTCTTATTTGTGTGACTGAACAAACCGTTGCATTTTAAGCCAGATGGAGATGAAAGTTGTAATGTCACTTAAATGTTTTTTTATATTGAAACCAATAACAAAATGAGCAAGTCTTTTTTTTTTCCTTGCACAAAAGTCTTTTTGATAGATCATCAGCGCAAAGATTTGGGGAAGTATTGTCTCCTGTGGGGATCATGTGTGTTTTACTGCACTTCGTTAAAGTTCTGCAGGAGCAGACTGGACGTAATCCTAGGGCTGAGCCACCTGCTCTGTAGTGACTTTAATCTTCACTTGATGAGCAGCTAGTCATATTTATCTGAAAATCTGGGTGGAAAACTAGCAGTTTGTAATTTGTTAACAGTGAAATCTGATCGTATTGGGTATTTGGATAGTTGTAACAGGGTTTGATCTGCAACAGAACATGCTTAAGTCTGAAAATTCGAAAAAAATGTTCATTGATAATTAACAAGAAAACTGTGTTTTGTGGGATTAATTTGTGGTCATACCGAGGCTAGAAAAAGTGGCAGGTTGCCTCTACTTCATGTGAGTGAAAGACTTGTCAAAAAATACTGAAATGTCTGTATTGTATATCATTTGCCAGATTAGATGTTTTACATTTTTTGTACCTAAGGTTGGTTTATTTAACATTGAATGGTTAAGTTTAATCATAAATACAAAATTGATTTAAAAAAAATGTAAAATACTAAAAAATGTGTGGAAAGAACTTTCCATGGCTGTATACTATCTGAAAGCTTATGTCTAAAATCGTCTGTGGAGTTGGAGCAGAAAAGGGCTGGTGCAAACACTTTGTACTGCTCTTCACTGAATTTATTTTTCTCAGTCTGATGTAGCATAGGCAGTAAGATCTAATATTCTTTGTCCTATAGCAGGCACACCCTCTGAGGTTCGTAGCAGACAGTAAGGTTTATCCTGACCTTTGATGTGCCTATCCTGGAAAACTGTTCATTAGTGCACTAGGAATAGCTTTATTGCTTAAAACTCTCATCATCAAGTTTGTAGCTGATGTTACTTCCACTGCACATCACTTTTTTTTTATCTGAGGGGTTAGTTGAACTGCAGAATTCATTGATGCCTTAAACCCAAATCTGAAACGGTTCCTGTATATACGTGGAATTTACTGTCTTCTCTGCTGCTTGACAGGGAGTCTGACAGCATCCACTGCCCAACACTAAACCATTCAAGTTCTGCTCTTAAATAGAGCTCATATCTTAATACATCTAGGTTTTTCAAGAGCAGTTAAATATAATTTGAGTGCTATAGATAATCTTGAACAGTAGCTATCAAAGAAGTAGTAGGAGCCAATGGAGCCTTAAAAACGCCACTATTTATAAGTCAGTAGTAAAAGTCAGCTTGTCAGAAATGTTAACGGTTTAAATTAAGTTGTGACAAAGACCTAACACTTGATATTTAAATAAACAAGGATTTATTTAGAATTATTTATTGTCGTAGTGCTAGAGTATGAGCAAGAAAGCTTTGTTGTTTTCACCTTGTAGTTTCCCCCATCAAACTATAAGAATTACTTATCCCTTTGTACTTTTCTATGCTGAAGGTAAGGATTTGAGGGAGTGAATAGAGTACATTGTTCTTGCACCTTTGTAATGGGTGTCTGTTTTAAGGGCACACGCCTGTTACGCACTGTTCAGGAACTGCAGAAAATAAAGCCATGGTTCGTTTTGATTACCTTAACTGTTGTGTTTAGCCTGTAAAGTGGCATTCCTACCTGACTACAATGGTTAAATTTGTGTTTTGGGCACTTTATTGCACCTGATAAAACTTGGGTTTGATGTGGTGTAAGCTTATTTAGATGGAGACCGGCAATATAAATACATAATCAGTGGAAATTGTAATAAAATTACAAAAAGTAGAGTCTTTAATTATTATTGAAGGATCTTTGTGGTATGGAGTTTGGTCTGGGAAAACAATGCACTGGATGGCTGGCTACCTATTTGAAGAAAACAAAGTCTCATTTTTTTCTTTTACTAGTTTCTTAGTTATAAAGACAAACTGTAATTTTTGTTATTATTTTGGCAAATAAAGTCATGGCCCTAGAATAACAATATAATGACTGGAGTTATCTGTAAATAGTATGGCCAGCTCTGGTCTTTGTCTACAGTCTATTGGCTTTCCTGCCAGCTAAGCTTTATTGCCCATCTTTCTGGCCTTTGGCAACTTATTGAAACTGCTCATTGCTGCTTGCCTAGGCCACGTTTAAGTAGCAATTTGAGATGCATGATCCAACATAGGTGTTTTGACTTTTATTATATTGGTAAAATAACAAATTGTAAAAAATGGAGGGATTAAGTCAATCCCTAAATTTTTTTTGAGTCAGATTCCTTCTGTTGCATAATCCTAATCTTGTGTTGCATGAGCCTAAGAAAAACTAGAAAATCTTCATGATGGATATAGCCTTGCAAGGATTTGCCACACACTGGCAAGACTGGTAATCCCAAGAGAAGCCAGCTCAGTCAGTGTACAAAATCTAACTTAATATAGGTTTTGGTTATAGGAAGAAATAAAGAAGCACCTGGGTCCAACCTTTCATTATTATATACAGTAGATCAGAAACATTTTTTTTTGTTTTTTGCTTCCCATAAACATTTATGAGAGTTCTATTTTGCAATCTGTCCCCCAGATTCACTCATTGTTTAATTAATGGAAAGAATGAACATTTTAAATAATTTCCGATTGTTTTCTAGGAAACAATTACTGTATGTCTAGTGGCAGAATATTAAAATCAGTCTGACTCATTTATTATTAGTGAAAATGGTATACGTTTTTAAATCAGTGTGAAAAAAGAGCATGTACTTCTTTCACCAGTATTTGTTATACCAGAATGATGTTTTTTTCACTTTTGAATTAAAATGTAATGTGCTAGAAATGAAACTTTCTTGGTGCACCTGTTAAGTTTCATCAAACAGCCTTATGACTATTTCCCCTAAAAAAAAAACATATTTAATGTTCATTTGCTATTAATACATTGAATACTGGTGTATGCTTGTTGAGCGTGCTAGATGGCTACAGTTCTATCTTATGTTTTGTTTTTTAATAAGTGCCTGTTCATGCTGAACCAATTGAAATTTCTACTTTAGAGCAGCCCTGGAAAAAAAATCTGCTAAAGGCAGTTAAGGTTAATTGTTTTTGCTACGCTTTTAATTTTTGTATACAGAATGAGTTGAAGCAATTTTCCTTGAGGTGTTTGCTACATTTTCCAAATGGTTAAAATTGTCGTAAACATTTTGAAGCTTCTAAAAATGTGGGAAAATGAAAACAGGAAGCATAAATGGCACCTGGGTTTTAAAGCATTGTTTTAATCATTGTGTGAGATGGTGCTGGTATTGTGTGCATTGGGGGGAGTTGTTCTGGCCAATGCTAATATATCAGGGAATTTGGGTAATAATAAATGAACTCCAGACAAAAACTGAAGGGTGAAAATGTAGAAAAGTCTTCTTTTTTTCCCACACTCCTGTAGCATTGAATGGATACTGTTAAGATTTGTTTCCTGGTTTGAAATGAAGTCATTGCCTTGCTGATTGTGGTGGAGATTTGGTTTTATTGAGTTTTATTATAGCTGGGTTTTAAGGGGGTATGGGTCAGTGGTGCAGCATAGCACAAACACCCAGCTCCACCTAAGGGCTTAACATTCTGTCTCCTGCCACAAATGAGTCCTCATATTTACACCTTGATTGTTTATGGAAATAGAAAAAAGAAAAATTAATAAATATTGTAACTGAAAAGGATATTTTAAAAACAGAGCACTTATTTTTGCTTGCAGAGAGAAATTGATGTATGCATAATGTGCACTGAAATTTCGCATTAGGCAAATGCACTTGAGTGCTCACTATTAAACTGGAAATTCTATACCATTATTAAAAGCTTTTTCAATGTACACCAGCTGTTGAACCACATTTAGTAACTCATCATTTACAACCAAATAATGAACATATTGATATTTCTGAGGCAAAAATCACTGTTTTTCTTAATAAAGGTATACAAAAACAAGCTTGTTAGATTGGGAAATGCCTCACATTCAGAGGTTTATGTAACAGTGTTTGAAATACAGGATTGTGCATACTGTACAATGCAGTAGTAATGTCTTATGTTTAAAAGTATTGTTTTTATTGTTTATTGTACAATCATGGTACAAAAAGAACAGTGCAAAGCATTCAGTTCCAAGTGAGGAACTGGGTTACTTGTAGCAATGCCATACATTGAATAAGGGAACAGATGAGTCTCATCCAGGTGGATGTTGCACATTGGTGGTGGTGGAGGGGAGTCCCCATTACCTGTAAAGCACTTTGAGTGGAGTGTCCAGAAAAGCGCTATATAAGTGTAAGCAATTAATTAATTAATTAATTAATTTTGTCTTGATCAGTGGAGTCAGGTTACTTCAAAACAAAGGTCAAGTATTCTTCACAACACAAGTAATCATGGTTCCAGAGGTATAAATACCAAATAAAGAGGATGTGCATTCAAGACTGAAGATATTCTTTACAGAAAGGGCTGTGTGTGTCTGAGAGAAGTTACCCTGCCATGTTGTTGAAGCAAGTTCCTTGATGCTCATCTATTCTAGTGGCTTTACCAAAATACAAGGTCATGGGGGGAGCCTATCCCAGCAAGCAACGATCACAAGGCAAGGTACATCCTGGATTGGACCGGTCCATTACAGGGTCGTTTTTCTCAGAAGCCAGTTGACTAACTCATACATCTTTGGCCTGTGAAAGGAAACCTAAGCACCAGAGAAAACCCACACACACCTGGGAAGACCTCCACACAGATTGCAGCCAAAGGATTGATCCCTGGCCCTCAGCCCTGTGAGGTAGCAATGCTAACCAGTGTGCTGACCTGCCAAAGTCAAAACAGGATGAGATCTTTGGAACAAATTCCTATGTTAATCCATCCATTTTCAATAAGCAGGTAGTCTTATATAGGTTTGCAGGTTAGTCGGCGCCAAACCGGCATAAGTATACGAGGAATATCTTGTTTTAAAACATAACGTTTAACGTACTGTGTCTTAAGTAACGTACTGAGCCATTACTAACACTTAGTGTATGTCTGCAGTACTACAGACAATAGCTACATTGTTGTGACAGATTTCTGTAGTGTAACACACAAACTGCATATCTGTCTCATCGCTTTAACCTTTAAAAACGAATGGCCTGTCAATAATTAGTTCATTCTATTATTTAACAGGGAATAATCGAAATGAAGGTGTCGTCCTTTCATCGAAGACTTAACGCTAACTCGTATATTCGTAGATGCCAGTTCTCTGTGTCTAAAACAGTAAATTTAGTATGCGCCTCATTGATACAACTTAACCCCCGCGCAGCTGGGTCAGGCTAAACTGGCTAAACAGTGACGAACACATTTTTCCTGAATAGTAATTAACAAAACACAACGGAGAGAAACGGTTCCTTTAAGAAGGCGGTGCGCTGGGAGGGCTGTAGGAAATGACGCTCTGTTTTGAAACAGGATCCCGCATTATGTTGTAGCGGTGCAGCGAGAACATCTGTCTGTGGAATCAGTAGTGATGCTACACAGAAGCGCAACTGACCAGCACAGTTCTTAGAGCTTGAAAGGAGACCAGGGCCATTTGCCGGACTGTGCAGAGCTGCGTGCAAAGAATAGCGTATAAGCGAGACTGCACTTAAAACAGCCAAGAAAAACAAATTGAAAATCGGAGCAATAGATCATCATGGATGTTGCCATAGATATGTACATAGTTACATCGACAATTATATTCACTTTATTTGCCATTATCTTAGCATCTGTATTTCTTAAAATGAAGTCTGCCCCAGCCGAGAAAGAACCGTGCAAGCCTGAGGACGAGGCGGACGGGGCTCAGAGTGACAAGGCAAACGCGGAGGGGGATCCTGGAGACGGGGAGAGGTCCGAAACGGACGAAAAAGAACCGGCGACGGTAAGTCGAGAGGAAGACGTAAAGGACGAAGAGGCGAAAGGAGACGCGGCGAAGACGGAGCAGCCTGCTGAGCCGAGAGAAAAGGCAGAGACAGTCGCTGGAGGTGCCAAGGGTGTAGAGGAGATAGGAGCCGAGGATGGAGAGGTGAACAAGGAGCACACGCGGCAAGAAGCCGAGAAAGCATCGGTGCGGGAAGACACGGTACTCGACGAGAGTATTGCGAAAACGGAAAGTCAAGTAAGGAAAACTCAATTGTTTTACTACGTTTTTGTTAAAAAGGTGGGGTCCACTTTCCCGTTCAGGACGCAGACGCCAAAATGCAATGCGTTTATGTTGGACACGCGTATAGTGCACGAAGTTTGCAGACCCCATGTCGTTGTAGTCGATTAAACATCATTGTTGTTTAAAATGGAGGAAAAACTTGTCAGCTGGCCAAAAACAAATTCCTTTCGCCTTGCATTATTTATACTAACTATACATTCTTCCAGAAGTTGGGTACCTAGTCAACAGCAAATATTTCAAAATGGACTGTTGCTTTTACTTAAGGCAAGAAATCCTGAGAACGCCAGCTACCCTCTTGCATGTCTGGACGCTACTTTGTAACGCGGGGATTCCAGGTTGTTTCTAGAATAATCCGCCCTTCCGAGACGTTTAATGATTTAGATGTATTAGCTTCTTCTCAGGCAGTGGCGAAGGCATAGAACCGCTCATGTATAAAAACCGTTTCTTTCACACATGGTGCGCCTTCTGTTTTTCAGGATTATCCCAGTTAATGTACACAAACCTCTTAGCACGCATGCCTGAAATGAACTTGGCGTTATTAGTCTGTTCAAAACAGCGGAGTGCATTTTCTACTGTCTATTTCGAATGATGTTGGCATCTCCAACTTAATACCCCGACTTTTTATTTTAACTAGGTAATAAGAGCAGAAATCAGCCTTGAGTATTGACCTGATACTCTCTGCACAACGTTATAATTCAAACTGTAAGGCGTCTTGCGCTCAGTCTGGATGGTGTCAGAAACGTTCTGCATTTTTTCAGGAAAAACGTGCGTCGTGATTGGAATGCCTCATCATCAACATGGACAGCTGATATTAATGTTGGCAATTTCAGTCCGTAATGGGGGAGCCCTAAAAGTATAGAATCTCCAGTTAGAGCTAACCTTCGTATTTTGCCCGAGATGTTTTAGGAGGAGTGGAGTGGTGCGACATAAGGAGCGTCTTTAATGTAGTTGAAATTTGACATTTATGTACTCTTCTACGTCAATGATTCATAAGTTTAGTGTCTGAGCCTGGCTGCTCATGATCTGTGAAGATCATGTGAATGAGCTCATTGGTTTTTCTCAAACATGAGCCTGTTATCTGTGCCATGCTGTGGCTGGCAAAAAGTGATGTGACAGTGTGGCAGGGCCTCGATGAGTGCCCATAGTGTTTGGAATCCTTGGTATGGAATTTGCAGCTGCTGTATCGCAGCGCTGGAGAAGCCGATGGACTGTGAAAAGATCTTGCAGATCCAGTGGACAGCTGTCTGTCCTGACTGGCTCCTGGGGTGCTGGCTGGGTGTGAGTTAACCCCATTAGAATTCACATTTGCTAGTTTCCATTTCCTCCACAAGATTGACTGGAATGTGTGTGATGATTGTGCTCAGGCAGTCCTGGAAATGGGTTATTAATCCCCTGAGGTCTGCTTCCTAATAACTGTAACAGTAACAGCATTCCCAAATCTCCTATAAACAAGCAACAACTATGACTCTGCATTCTGCTACAATGCTCAAGTGGGTGGACACAAGGGAAAGTGGCATTTGATACTGGGAATGGAAGAAATTTCTTTATTTTAGGGGGTGGTGGTGGAGCAAGCTGCCTATCCTCGTTGTCAAAGCGGATACCTCAGCTGGGGTGGTCACTGGCAACCAAACAAGCATGATGGGCTCAATGGCTTTCTCATCTTTCTTCTTCATTAGGATTAACTGTGTCCTGCTCAAGTGGACCAGAATTGCTACTGAAAACAAAATTCATTGCTGGCTAAAATACCCGCATAACATGCTTTGCAAGCATTTTAAAAAACGGCTATTGATCTCTCTAGTTTGGTGAGGTTTCGATTCCCTTTGGTTTGGCGTAAAAAATGTGCAGAGCTTTGCCAATCGTATTGACCAGCTTCCCAGTCTTTCATCAGCATTAAGAACTCCAGCAGGGTCTCTGGCATATTGGCAGGTATTTTGGATGTGACTCTTTAGGACGTTGTCCTGCCTGTGTTAAGGCATGTGATTTCTTGCCTATCAATCAAAACAACAAAAAAAAGGTCTAAGGGGTTATGGTAATCATTTAGAAATTCTGCTGTTTGAATGTTGAACAGGATTGGTGTCCATTTACTTGGTGATTAAAATTGCATTAGTTTCACATATTGTTGCAAAGTCAGTCTCTTATAGACAAGAGGTTGAGCTGTCAGTTTTCTCATTATGTACAGAAAAACCCACTTGTGACTGGGTGCACAAAGCATCATAAAGTTGAGAAAACTGGCCAATTGATTGCCCTTGGTAGAATAGCAAGATGTTCAGGTCTCAGTCTGACTATTTGCGTTGTTTTGATTATGAAATTAAATAATTAAATGCCCTGAAGTGTTCAGCCCAGGTCCTACAGAGCTTACTTGGCTTAGCTGACTCAAATTTGTTCAAAACTCCCCCAAAACTTATCGGTGTGTTTCTGAAAGTCAGCATGTTTATTTGAGGATAAGAGTGATAGAACTTATACTGTCATCATAAGATGCCACCTGTCAAAAATGAGGGTGCTGTAAATTCACAGACTAGTCTTAGTGAAGTATTTAATATTATATTAACTATCCTTTAGCAGATATATCAGAGAACAATTCCCAACTATTTTTCTTTGGTACAATAATGAAGTGAATGGAATTGTTGGTTGCATACAGGGTGATTAATTACAGGCCTGTGCATAAAACACTATAATAAACTTTTGCATGGAGGCAGGGGGCAGATTAAGTCTGCTTCTCTGTCTAGGTGTAGAATGCCTTTGATGTTTTAAGTCAAAAGATGTTAAAGGTGTTTCGAGAAATAGGGGAAGATGTTTTAGAGAGCACTTCTACAGAGGTAGGTATTGCTCTTTGTGAAGCTTTTGAGTGCATTAACTTTGTTGCTAAACACCTAAACAATCTCCAACATTTGCATTTTGAACCAAATAAGAGCCGATTATGTTCCACTGTGTGGTTTTTCTGTGCGTAATTAGAAACACATTTTGCTGCGTTCCTTTTCTGCTGACCATGGAATAAGGCACTGCCAAACTGTGAAACCCCAGGAAACACTGGCAAAAAAATGGCCTAGCATTCCACAGATGGCCATGATTGAAGAAACAGCTCAGAAACCAAGGCTAAGAGCACATTTCTGTCGGGTGTGGAGGACCTGGGATACAGTCAACTGGTATGTTAAGTAGAAAGAACTGAGGAAGAAATAAACAAGTTCATAAGATGATTTAAACCATTCTTTTTAGTGTAGTTTTACAGCTCCCAGACAGGAAAATGTGATTAAATCACACTGTTGGAAGATGGAATTGTCTTAAAAGAATCATCTTCACCTTGATCTGGGGGGGGTTGCTGTCAAGTGTTGATATTGATGCTTTACCAAAAATATCAAGAAAGCAAACCTATTTTGACATCATAACTAGAAAACAAATGTTTGACTAACTTTTTAAATGTATCACTTTAGAGATGTTACATTTTTAATTACTGTGTCCTTGTTCTGCTCTGTAAATCCATTAGAACATTTGAATCAAGAGTTTAGAGCCATTAGTTTTTACCAAAATAAAGTCTTCACAAATACTGGCTTTTCTTTCTAGAGAGGAAGTATCTTAAACCAGGCCAGCAAGCTCCAAACACAAGTAAAGCCTCTATGAAGAATAGGGCTGTGTAAATTAACTGTAAAGCTGACCTTCCAAAGTCAGAAGGTATAAATTTGGTACCAGAAGATTCCTTTAGGAACAAATGTTTATCATCTCTGGTCATCCATCAAACGTGACAGACCACAGGCCAGCATTCTTCACTTCTGTCAATGTACATTTGTGTTTTTACGTAATTTGCAGTAAATGTGTTAACAAAATATATATAACCTGTTTTCACTTTCATTTACAGTACATCATTTGCATTGTACAGTACAAGCTGTATTTACAGCAAAAACACAAGGTGTTCTATTGAAATGCACAAAATAGTTTTACTCAAAAGCCATGGGTTTGCTTTCTTGCCGTCTAACACGGAAATCTCTTCCCCAAAAAAATAGTACTTTCATGATCACCCTCCGCAATTATCAGTTGATGAAGAAATTGGTTGTATCAAGATGATGTACAGTTTAGGCACGGTTTTTTGTATGGCTTCTCAGGAATCAATGGCTTGTGTGGTTTCTCATGAAGTGCAGTGTTCTGAGAGAGCACCAACCAACTTCTTCATCAGGGGGCAAATGGCTCTGCTTAATCTCTGATTTTAACAGTCAGTGTGCATCTCTAAAAGCCTTTTCTATAACAGGAGAGACTGTGTTTCTCCTCCTTGTCCCTTTTACAGTGTTGAGGAACCTTCTAATCCAGCCCAGACCCTCTGTGGCGTGATGAGCAGGTGTTTTTTAAGGGACAGGACAATTTGGAAATGCTTCTGTTCTCCTCTTGCACGCCTGTCTCAGCTAATCTGGGAGAAGAGAACCTTATTTGTATTCTGTTGATTTATTGAAAATGGCTCCATTATCAAACTGTACGGAAAAATACGACACTTTGGTTTTTAAATGGGGTTTTTATTTACACAGGTCATTCATTTGCCTCTCTCCCTTCTCAAGTCTACGCAAAGGAAGGAAATGGGGTTGGAAAAAACATTTCAATAGAGGCGCTTGGAGAATTGTCATGTTGTACAGTGTCGCCTGTTGGCATCAGATTTATGGGTGTTTGCTTTTTCCATGGCTTTAATGCTCAGCTTTGCTTATTGACCCTTGGACTCACGTAACATCATCCACACTGGCAGAGAGCTGAGGTTGCTGGGCAGCCGAGTTGCTAGGTAAAGCCACTGGAACTATTCTTTGTTCTTTTATGCACTGGAGACAGATGCCATTGGTCTGCATTTCAGATAGTTGTTCCCATAGGACGTCCATGAACCTTTCTTGGATTCTTGCTGCTATATTGTTTAAACCAATTCATTTACTTTATATTGCAGTGGAACACAAAAAGATTATGATGATGATGATGAGGGGTTCTGTGTT